CGGATTCGGATAGGTAATTTAATTCTACATCGATTATTTTAGTAACCTTTTTGGCTAACATTTACCGTTTAGGTCCTATTTGACAATTTTAATGAAAACTGAATTCGACATAAAAAAGAGAAATCTTTTGCCTTTTTTATAACAAAATCTTTTCTTTAAAAATTTTTTGTGCCTATTTTTTCTGTTTGTGAAAAATATGTCATCTTGTAGAGATTTTTTCATGCATCAAGAACATGAAGTTTTTTTTTCTAGCCCTCTTACTTCTTGAAATAATTACCATTTAATATTTTGCACCTGAAAAATTTTAGATAAAAGTTTGGTCCTGTCTTTCGACTGGTAATATTTTCATTAAAAAAAGTTCGACCCTGTCTTTCGACTGGTAATATTTTTATTAAAAAAAGTTCGACCCTGTCTTTCGACAGGTTATAATTTCATTAAAAAAAGTTCGACCCTGTCTTTCAACAAGTAATAATTTTATTAAAAAAAGTTTGACTCTGTCTTTCAGCATAAAATGTTTTTATTAAACATGTTAAACGCCCTTTGTCGACACAAAAATGAAAATTAGTGGCAAAAATGGTCATTTTTAATAATTATTTTAAAGGACTGCTTAAAGGTTTAGAAGGTCGGGACGACATGCATCGTGTAGAGAGACTTTTTAGCGATCATTCAAAAACAAAATAGTCTATATTCCTTCATTAGTCTTCGAGATACAGGGCGTTTTCCACAGCATGTTTAAAAATTTTCATAAAATTGCCAACTTTTGAAGGGCATTTCAGGGCACTTCCAAAGGGTTTAGAAGGTTGAAATATAATGCATTATAAACAGAGTTTCTTAGAGTATAAAATGGCGCTGAGAAACTTAAAGAAATAGTAGTAGTTTAGGAGATACGGGGTGTTTTCCACACCATGTTTTCAAATTTTCATCAAATTGTCTATTTTTGAAGGGCATTTTAGAGTACTTCCAAAGGGTATAAAGGATTGAAACAAAATGTATCGTAAAATAAGTCTCTTTTACTATAAGATAACGCTGAGAAACTTAGAGAAAGTATATTAATTCAGAAAATACAGGGGGTTTTCCACACCATGCTTCAAAATGTTCAAAAAATTGCCAATTTTGAAGTGCATTTTAAAGCACTTCTAAAGGGTCTAGGGGGTTGAAATAATATGTATTGTAAAAAGAGACTCCTGAACTGAAACATAATAATATAATATAAATATTAGCTAGTAACCTGAGTACTCCTGCTTCCTTCTAAAATTTGTAAAACATTCGATTGATTAATTGCGCACAATGCTCGCTCATAATCAATCTCGTGACAAAAACTTGCGTTTAGCCACTTAATACTTAATATTTTATTATATTTTCTATGGAATGTTCTTTGCCTATAAAATATATACGCAGGCGCATCTATTATATTACAATAGACAAAGTTATAGAGAAAAAAAACATAATTTTTATTAAAGACCAGCAATAAATGTTTGCAAGACTTTTGGAAAACTTTTTGGCGTTACACATTACAGAACACAGCCACTAGAGCCACTACAACCACTCGGCGCGATTCGAAATGGTCGGACAGGGTAGTTTCAAGATGATTTATATCATTTTCCTTACCTCTCTTTGCGCTCTCGGCGAAGCTTTTCATGCTAAGCGCATGATATGTGCAGTGAGGATGGGCTGCACACACCACTGCCCCCATCCCCCCGCCGACATCGTCGTGGCTAATAGGTACGTACTCGAAATTGCTTTTTGAGTTATACACACGAGTTTCATATAAATTTTTGCACATTACAAGAAACCAAAATTACTGCTTACCAAGCAAAAATTACAAATTTTTTTGGGTTGTAAATTTTACAAGTTAGCGCTATAATGAGTTTACTTAGAACTTATATTAAAGGGTTTAGGTAAGTACCTAAAGTGTGGAAAATATGCCGTGTGGGTGTTTTCGTGAGCACGCAGAGTGTGCTCCTTTAATCGCGTTTAATTTTAAACTATCGCAATAAACTTTGAGTTGCCGGCGTTTTGAGTTTTTACCCGGGATCGACGAAGGATCTGCTGCGCTCGGCTTGATTTATAGTTTTGTTTGTTTACGACATTAAAAACACACACGTCGAATTTAAGGCGGACGCGTACAGCCCGATCATAAACGTCGATGAATATGAACGCTGGCTGCGGAGGAAATATGCTTCATAAATATTAGCTTACGATTGCAAAACGCTCACATATTTTTCCAATTATTATAAAATCAAGGAAAACTATTTAATATTCACAAAATCATAACCATTTTGAATTTAAATTCAATTTTGATTTTAGCAAAAGTTTTAAAATAGGTATTTGCTGTAATTTTATGCAAATAATGCATTTTAGCACAATTTAATTCTAAATTATCATTTTTTTCATTTCCAGGTAAATTTTTTGCAACAAAAAGCAGCCTATTTGCTTCTCCATAGTCAAAAATATATCTATACCAAAATTTATCAATATTGGCGTGGTGGTATTTGCGTGAAAATGTCACAAACACACAAATCGCGTTAAAATTTCAATAAAAAAGCGAAAAACATTTTTATTCAAGAAGAAAAGTCATTAATCTTTCCATTTTTAATACTTAAACTAAAGATTCTCTAAATCTTACACTTTGAAAAACTCTAGCTTCTCATCACAGCTTATAATAGATGGAAACACTTTGATAGCTCCGTAATTAAAGTTAACGTAGAACAAGGCAATTAGTTTTTGCACGCGGCGCGCTAATCGAATGACAATAAAGCGCATTTGACGTGAGGTGGACTACAAAGCTGTTGCCGCCGTCGTAGATCGCCGAAAGCTTTTCAGAGCACGACGGGCAATGGTGGAGGCGCCAGTACACCTAAGTCGCGTGTCCGACGGTCGTTACGTCTTGTTTCAACACGTAAACAGTGCTTTAGTGAAAATTTCATAAAGCACACGACCGTACAACACATTCAACATACGCTAAGCATATCAAATCCCATGGAGTAGGTAGAATTTATTGACGTATGTATACGAGCACTACGTTTAAAAGTGGTAATTATTTAGGGCAATTATTTCGGCTTATCTTTGGAACTCTTCATAGTGATATACTTGCAATGAAGTCATAATTACTAGGTAGAGTTTAATTGTTTCATATTTTTCATTGAAACGTTGTGAGTTTTTAGTAAACTCATTGAAATAGAAAAAAAAATGAAAAAAAGTTTGTTTGTTTTCGTTTTACGTCTAAGCCACTTGAGCAATTTTAATGAATTTTTGTAAATAAGTAGATGAGACTTAGGAAAAGAATATAGGTTAGTTTTTGTAGTAAAATTATAAGTTGAAATTGGTATATTCACATAAAACTCAGTTTTGTTGTTTATAGAATTTATACGTTAAAAATTAAGGTTATTCCATGTTAAGCGCACTCCTACTGTTCATAATAAGTAAATTATTTCATGCAAAACCGGGTTTGCAAGCGAATAATACATTCACATACACATTAATCCCGGAAAATTATTTTAACAAAATAATTACTTGATAAATTTTGTATAACTTGCATTGAATAAACAACACGTATCCAATTTAATATTTAGAAGATGAATTTACTTAATTGCCTTGTCATAAACAATGTTTAAATAATAAATGTGTTTTTCTTTATAATACTTACTTACGAGTACGTTGATGTTTATGCATAACCCTAGTCTTTATCGCCTTGTTGGAGCGTGTAATTTGTAATGTAATTAATCAAAAGCAAATAATTGTCCATTCTCTTTGTGTGCGACACTTTTCATTCTTTCCGGTTAATTTGTTTTCCAATATGCGCGCAACAGACGTTGTGTATTTGTTCTGTCTCAGGTTGTGTTTTTCCTGTGCACGGAGGATGGTTATCGTCCTGCAATTTATCGCCTACAATTAACAATCGGCATTCGCGATAAAACTAATTACCATGAAGTATCCCACCGTGAGCCGTAAACTACGATAAAGGATATCAATTGTAATTATCTTTATTAGATATTCATAATATTTACTTTGTATTAAGGATTGAAAATGTGTGTGCAAATTGTAAATATTTCATTTTTAAAACTCAATAAATGAAATTTAAAAAAAATTAATTTTAGTAAAAAAAATTGAAGAAATAAAAGTGGATTAAAATTACAGATACGTTACGTGATATAAAACGTAATGTAATAGGTTTTTTATAAAAATTTTAAATAATGTGGAAACTAAAAATATCAAAAATTAATGAATACCAGAACGGTGAAAATATTTAAATAATCAACAAATGAGAGTAATTATTATTATTTTTAGTTAAATTTAATTAATAAACGAGAATAATTATTTCCTTTTTAAATCTGAGTATCTATTATTTTGTAAATCTGTATATTTGCAAATACTGTTTAAACTTCAAACAAAACTCTAATTTAAATAATAATGCTTACTTTACAATTTAATGTTATTTACAGGTTATTTTTTGTTAAATGTAATTCAACTTTTTTAACTTAAAAAAATAGCTGAGATGTCAACAACATATATGAAAAGAAAATAAAAAATAAATATATAAATCAAATAACTGAAATAAAAGAATAAACTTTGGTTATTTAAAGAAAAAAAAAGGTTTTTTTTTAAATGTTATAATTTTTTAATTAAACGTTTTTTTGTGGTAATTACTTACGTATACCACGGATATTATATAAGGACGTTATTCTTTTCTAAATATAAAAATAATTTTGTATAATAATCTTTGTAATAATCTTGAATGGCCTTAAAAATATAACAAAAATGTAACAACCGCAATTTTTTTATCAAACCAAGCAATGTTAGCAGTTAGCTGTTTCCTTCGTTAAAATATTACAAAATATCTATTTTTTAATAAGCTTAATATAATTTCCTTTAATATAACTTTGTCTGATCAGAATTTACTTTTAAGTAAAAATTTAAAATTAATTTTGTGTCGATATTGTTTTATTTTAACAAACTAAATTGAATTTTCTAAAATTAGTAAGTCTTTTTGTCGAACTCACCATTAATCACTCGAGTGGAGGCGAACGAGTCGTCGGTGCATGTTTTTTCGCACAGCGGCGATGCTGTGACGCTAAACGCATCAGAATTGCAACGACGGCAGACGCTGACGATCCGCAGGACTCAACCAGTCAGGATTCAAGCCGATGCAGAAACTTACACCATCGGTTTTTGCGCGCGTTCTTCGAATGTTCCAACGTCACTCACAAAAAACGACACAATACAATCTAAGAATATCCTCAATGTCTTCAAGGACAAAAGACGTCTCACTCAATCACTAAATTCAATCAATCTCTTTAATAAACAAATTAAAAAAAGTTGCAAAAAACACAATTACTTAATTGTTAATAATTATTTACTTTAAAAGTTTTTATTTTGTTTTTATTTATTTTATAAATTTAATTCACTTTATTTTATTTTGTTAATTAAAACCAACCGGCATACTTCTTAAAATTATTTTCGACGTGAGGGCGATTAATTGAGTTTAATTTGGTAACTTTGCGCATTAGTTTCGCAGCCGTCCGCTGGGTACCGCACGTCGACGTCGACTAGAGCGTCGCGACGCATCGCATCCAACCTCGGCCACAGCTTGCGGCGGTGGCGGCAGCGGCGTCGTACACCGTCGCGCACAACAAGTGCATTCTAATAGCCTGCGATCCTGCACATCCCACACATCCTCATGCATTAAATTTACATTCGCCGGCGGTCGCCTGCATCAATTACACGCGTTTTAGTGATTTTTCGGCTAAAAATAAATCCGGACAGTAAACTAACTAATTAAACAATAGCAAACAGAGTCAGCAGGTCGAAAACAGTTCAGTTGAAACCTGTTTTTGTTTTCTTTAAAGAAAAAAATTATATTTAGACAAAATTTTGTGAAATATTTTGAAATATCGGATTTATTTTTTATATTTTTTAGAAATATTTGAAATGCCAGGTATTGTTTCAGTCGGTTTTTGTTAAACCGAACTAAAATCAATAAATTGTGAATAATGAAAGAGGTAAACAAGAATAACAATAGATATTTATTATTTAGATAATAATTATTTACTGGTTTTTATTATTTTGGAAAAAATATGTTTTTTTCATGATTTTTGGGTTTTTTAATTAAAGAACACAATAAAATTCAAAAAAAATTAAAAATTAAAAAAAAATCTAAAAATTACATCACAACATGAATAAAAATATTAAATGCAAACATAAATTATTAATATTCTCTATAAAATCCATGTTACAAATTAAAAATTAATTTTTTTACATTTTTAAATACATTTTGCATTTTTTAAGCATTTCACGAATAAATAATGCACATAATTTGGCCCAGAAATACTTTATCATTTAAAAAGCATAAATAATTCGTCCGTAAAAAATGTTCAAAATGGCGGCCTCGTAGCTTTTAAAGTTTTTTCCTCCTCGCCTAGTTTTAGCGCTAATAGCTCACGTTTAATATGCGCGCCTCGTCCGTCCGCCGGCGCGAATAAATTAATAAATATTTTTCTCTGCAAACAAACAGACGACGACAGACACGTCGGATAGTTGCATAGAAGCAAGGGCTTCACTGCCGCGAAGCAATGTAATACGCCGCGAGGCGCAAGACAGAGAAAATGGCACGAAAATAAAAGAAAACGTTTCAATAACGCGGCGTCGTCACGTCGCCTGGGAAAACCGTCGAAGCGGGTGCAATTAATGCAAGCGGCGCTGCGGCGCTTCATTTTCATCTTGAATGTAACAATATACTGAGTGTTACCAAAACAAAATTAAATTTTAATTTTTAAAAAGTGTGGTTATGTAAGATATATATATATGTTTGCATGTGAGAACAGTAAAATTTTTCAATTTTCTCGAATTTATTTTTTAATATTTCTTGTTTATTCGTGTGAAATGAGTTGTAAAGTGCGGTGGGAAATAAAAGGTTACCAAACTATAAAATATAAATAAAATAATCTTATAAATCTAACCTAAAAATAAAATAAAATAAATTTTGTCTGCAATACAAGCAATTCAATTTAAATTTGCATTAATTCAACGTTATTTGTTTTTATTCTTTTTTTAATTTTTTTTTTCTCTCTGGTAACCCTTGATAATTATACTGTGGGCGACTAGGCATCGTTTAAACCCGTTGATGATGAAAAAAAAATGAAAGAAAAATGTTTTCCATTTTTGCGTAGTCTTGAAGCCCACTTTTTGCGCCCATTTCTGTTTCTGTTTTAATTTTAAACGCTTCAGTTCACACCAAACACATTTTTTCGTTAATAATACTTAAACCTGTATTATTTCTGAACACGTTTTTTTCGAATCCACCCTCGTTACTTATTTATTGATCACTTATTTACTCCTTTTTTCGTGGAAAAGGTGAAAAGGTTTTGTAGAATTCGCACTTTTATTTACTTTTTACTTATTTTTTTATGCTGCGTTCTTGGTTCAAGTAAAAACACTTAATGGTTGTGTTATTTATTTATTGTAACGTACGCGTGTGTAAATTTCCGGTTTCCGGTGTTGGGTATTAGTTTCATACGAGGAATTTCATGGATAAATATTTAAATATACTATCTGCAACCAAATACACCTACATGTAACCAAAACCTTGTGCTACTAAAAATAAAAACAAAAATAAACCACAAAAATGCATCGTCAACAAATTAAAAATATTTTTTTATAATTTTTATTGTGAAATTACTTTTATGATGCTGTGGTACGATCCATATTAGTTTGTATAACAATAATGCGTAACTGCAGCGACATCTGTGCACAATCTTCAAACAAAAATAATTCACTAGCAATGCGTTCCTAACCTATTTATTATCCATGCATATTTTATTCTACACCCCTCCAAAGCAAGTTAATAAAAAAGCAAGTAAAACTGCTCCAAAGTAGATTTCTCAGTGAAATATTGTTGGTGCTTCAAGTTTGTGTTTCTTTATTCTTTATTTACACGACTTTCGACCGAGTGAACCAAAAAAAGATATGAAGAAATGAAGATATATAAATACGCATACAAAATAAAATAAAAGAGCACACCAGTAAAATTTAAATCAGCGACGCAAAATGAACATGAATATCGTTCGGTTGGAAGGTTTTACGCATTATTTGCGTTATTTATTGCCGAATGAAGCGGGCGCCGCAACAAAATAAGAAACCATTCGCAAAAGCAATGAGAAAAAAACAAAAAGTAGCGTAATGTACGCAAATAACATCGGTAAACACAAAGTAATAAAAGATACAAATGTAATTTGTGTGCGTTCGATACGCTGGATGAATTTAAATCAAATCAAAGAAAATAATCCGGATAAATTTGAAAGTGACGCCATCTGTGGTCGAATAGCTAAGCGGACAATAATAAAATTTTATCCCATATAATTTTTTTATTATATGAAGGCCGTAAAAGTTAATAAATAGTAATTTTTGCACATGTAAGCAACAATAACAAATATTTACTAATAAATCTGTTTTTTACGTGAAAGTTGCCTGTAAAAGATTGTCAAAGTCTGCCTTTCAGTATCTTGGGATTTTGTTTTGCGCATCCTTTCACTGCCCTCCACAGGATTGTGCAGGCTGCAAAACTTTGGCGTTCTCTTAAAACTTTTAAATGAAAAACTTTGCCGGCTGGCTCGCCGCACGTCGTCGCGTGTTTATTTTTCGTAAATATATTTTTTATTTATTTGCACGCGCCGCTTGTTTCTATAAAAGATAAATATAAACCGTTTGATGCGATCAATCAATCGGGAGAGTATTGCGAGAATTCTATTAGCAAATTATTAAAAACGCTTTTAAAAAGTTTTACGCTCGGAAAAATACTCCCAAAAGTTTAGAAAAAAAATTAAGAAGCAATAAAACTTTTTCGGGACTAATATATTTTTTAATAAATTCTCTAAATTGAATTCGGACGTCTGGAATTCCACAACAAAACTTTTTAATGAACTTGGAAACAAAACAGCTTAGTTTAAGTGAGGTTAAAATTTGTTTGGGATTTATTAATAAAGTCACCTTTGAATAGTTGCCGGTTGTCGAATTGGATCATTCAATCAATTTGGAAATTTTTCGTGAAAATGTCACACTGACGTTGTAGTAGGTTCAGTTTTTCAAGCGACACGCACCTCGAACGACGCATCCTGCAGACGGACGTCACAGCGAAGTGTGTCGAGCTCCTTGCTTCACCGGAACAACTTCTACCAAAATATACAATTTTATTGAAGTCACATTGAACCAAATCCTCTGAAAAACGGTGAAGAAGGACGCTTGGCTCTATAAGAGGTGAAATATCAACAAATCAATGCAGTAATAAAACGCAGAGGATATTGAGTTGAATAGTTTGCACAGGTAAATATACTGAGTGTTAAAAATAAAAATAAAAATTAAAATTTTGTTTTTTACGTGATTTTGACTCAAAAATTAGAAAATTTTGTTGATTTTACTTTATTTTTTAAGGAAATAAATTATAAATGCACTTTTACGTACTTTAACGCCATCTGGAGGTCAATTATATAAGTATAATTAAAATTGAAACTCTATGCTAACTTTTATCCCTTATTTAACACTCTTCCAGTTACAATTTTAGATATTTTAATTATTCTGTTAATAGAGGCATAAACAATTACAAAAAATCATAAATGATCAAAATCCATCCAGCCGTTCTTGAGTTATAAGTGTTTTAACTAACAAAACTTTTTTTTTTTTCAAACAAATGCATTAATATCCTTACTTTTTAAGTAAATTTCACCATAAACAATTAAAAAACATTTTAATTTCAGTTATGTCTCGTGCACCACAACATGCCCGCCCAAATGTGCCGCCCCCAAGCGTGAACTTACATCATCACCACCAACAACACCAACATCAGCAACACCAGCACCACCAAAGTGCCGGGGAACGCGTGCCGTCGCATCTGCAACCGCAGCAACAGGCGGTGCCCGCAACGTTGGCGGCGCATGATGACTACTATTACGAGGAGGTGCAGGAGGAAGAGTACCTCAGCGACTATGCGGCGGACGAGGCGGACGAATGCGAGGATCCGCAACAAATGTTGCACCCGCATCAACAGCATCAGCCGGCCACTCAACCGCCGCCGCCGCACGAAATCGATCCGAGACGCGCGGACGTGACTGAGTTGTATCGTCGCCAGTGTGGCGACATCTATCCGAATCACACGGTTTACCACGTGCCGATTGTCAATACACAAACGCCACAGGAGTAAGTAATTCTAACCTCAAATTTGATCCATTCGTTCATTTATTAACCTTAATTACATAAATCATTTTGCCGTGTGGTAATTTTTGACGTGGTGATTAAACTTCATAACTCAATATTCCTCTGGTTGAAAATTTATGGCGGTATCGGCGGCCGCCATCTTGTTTGGCAATAATCGCATTTAATTTGGGGCGCGCATGCATCAGCATCGCGTATGGTTTACGATGCGATTATGGTCGGCAGCGATCGGCGCAACTAAATCTGAAAATTTATGCTTACGAGTTTATGAGTTTGCTTCACACCACCACAGCACGCGCACCATTTTCCTCTGTGTGTTTGTGTGTGTGTGTGTGTTACGCGGCGGCGAGTTATTATTTATTGAGATAACGAATCCCAATTCGCGTCGCGGACATTTATCATTCGCCACTCTGGGTTGAATGTGGGTGTACACCCCGGGGGCGGTTGGTGAATTCTCATCACGCATCGTGGAACGCACAAGGTCGAACACGTAATGGAAACAAACGTAAAATTTTAGGTTAGGTTTGTTTATCATAACCTAGAATAACACCTAGATACAAACATAATGTTTCATATTATAACCTAACCTTTGTTTTATTTGTTTTAGATACTTTTATGACCCACGTGTGCCACAAACACAATCTCAGTTAAGAGTTATGCAACCACCTATACACGCTGCTTCTATGGTATATCGAAAACGCGTTGTTCCTGTGAACGCAACCACATCAACTTCTTACCTTCGTGTTGCACCTCCACTTTTACAACCGCAAGCTTCTCAAACGTGTTATTTGACCAGTGAAGAAGCACTGGCGTTGAGACATCAGCAGCAACAACAGCAATACGAACAATATCTGCATATGCAGCATCAGAAGAATATGCAACTTCAACGCCAACAGAATTTGCTGCATTTTCAGCAACAGAAACAAATGCAACATGCGCAGCTTTCTCCGCAGGAAGTCTATCGAATGCCAAATGTAACGAATTTAAGCACGAGAAACATTGGCACTGGCAGGACTGGATCCATGGTGCGGTTGGAGTCACGACCGGAAAGACATGTGCAAACAAACATGGCGCAGTTCATGGACGTGAACAACTCGGAAGTTGTTAAGAACAGTAATATTAATAATAATATTAATAAAGTGACAGTTGCTAGTGCTACAATGGTGGATAGTGACACCAGAGTGCAGCCCAGGACAAAAAGTTCACAACATGGCGTCGGGGCAACACGTCGACATCCGGTTACTGTACGGACACCTAGGTGAGTCGTCATTTTATTTTATTTTATTTTATTTTATTTTATTTTATTTTGTAAGTTTTAGGTTATAATGAAATGTGTTTTGAGGTTATGTATAGGAGTGTTTTGACATTTTTGGTTTTTACCGTTCTTTGCCACTCCCATCTAGGAGTGACTAGTCATGTTATGATGTAGTGATATTGTTAGGTGGTACTCTTTAGTCATAATCATAAAACAGTAGTGCCGAGTCATCCAGAGAAAAAATAGCGCAGTAAAGAGACGCTTTCTTTTCTTTTTCGCTCGTAGGTGGTTTGTTTTTATTCGTATTTTTTCGCTGGTGTGTTTACATTATGCTCGTTTTGTGAGTTATTACGTTACGTAGTGATATAGCGTATGTGCGCATTTTTTTGTTTCCGTTTTCTTGCTTCCGCTTTTTGATAATAATAAAATAACTCGGGTGGTGCGGTATGCGGAATACATTTGTGTGGATCATTATTTTTCTGGCGTAATTGTACTTTATAATTATGATATCACAAAGACTTGGATTTTATTGTATTTACATACAAGAAATATAGAAATATAATGAAATATCGAGAAATATTTCTGATAGTTAATTGGTGTCATCATAATTAATATAGGCAGCAGACAGCCAAATACTCATAATAGTATATTAAGAACCAAGTGGCTAAACGGGGACTTTACTCACGACATTGATTAATCGAGTGTTTAACAATTTTTAGCCACGAGATGCTTACGTTATATTTTCTACTTCCACTCTAGTTCCACGTTGAGTTTTTGTATTTCAACTTTTTATTTTAAATCATCGAAATTTGCTCGCACACTACTACAAAATGTAAGGTTATAAATACCATACCGCGCAGGGTCATGTGACGCATCGGGTCATATCGTGCAGCTCCTACACGAGCAGCAGCAGCGCCTGTTTTGACGTGTTTGACTGACGTCGCATAGCATTTCATACGGTCTCGTGCTGATCCGTAGGCAAATGCGCAGGCGCAAGCTCCGTCCCGTAAATAATACCCGTAGATAATGGATATTACTCACGGCTTGGCCGTCTGTATATAAAGTCTCACTTTTTCTATCTAAAAACCGTAAAAAAACAGGCGCTTTATAATTGGAAGTAATAAAAAATATTTGTGACAATTAATTAATAGCTATCATCGTTATTAATATAGGCAGCCAAATACTCATAACCCCATTTATTATATGATCTGTTTGATTAGTTTCATGTACGAGTATGTTTGCTCTTCTTTTTATGTGTGATATGCGACGAGAATAATTAATCCACTGTCACCACAAAAACATTCCACAACAAAAAAGTCAGATTCTTTCTTCTTTCTCCAAGGTAGTTTTTATCTTCATGTCACCATTCAAAAACACACATAGCCACAGCACGTACGACGCACGACGTATGTAGATGCAAATAAAAAGCAAAAAAGAAAACCTAGAATGATGACCTGAGCACAGTGCGAAAAGTATTGTTGAAAAAATATACGTATTAAAAAAATAAAATTATTTGAAGACGCTCGACGCGTAGCACAGTCGACGCAGTCACGTCCTGCAATAATGTCCTGCACGCTCGATGTGTGGCGAAGGGCAAATAGGACACACTCGCGAGAGCAAACTACGTCCGAGGTGAATTTTAGTTTCAGAAAAATAGAAATAGAAAAAAATTAATCAAATAATATAAAATGTTATTAGTATTTTTTGTAGTTTAGATTTTATAGCGAAAGGGGAATAGGTTTTGGGATATAAGGAAAGAAGCAAATTAGAAAATAACAAGTTATTGAGGAAACGTGCTTGTAGGATTTGTTAGGTTTTATGTGTGGAATTATATGAGAATTTTCTATAGAATGGAAGATATTAGGTCACGTTCAACTATACGCAATTTTTTATTTCTTTTAAAGAAAATAAAAATAAAAATTATTTCTCAAGAAAAAATAAAAATTAATGTATTGACACGTAGATTTACGAGAATAACAAAAAATAGTTATGATTCGCTGATTTTGGATCCAATTTGCCATTTTCTAAATGCACAGCGCCATTTACTTTACTCTAGCGGCAGTTTTATTTAGTTTTCAAGTATTTTTTAAAGCTACTCTAATATTTACTATTAAACTTTTATTAACCCTTACTAGTTTTAACCCGCGGCTTCGCTCGCGAATATCTAAAATAATAAAGTTGCTTCCGTAAGCGTCTGTAGTCACAGAAGAAGTAACAATGAAGTAGAATGGCGGGAAGTTTAAAATGGCTGAAAGTATAGTCTATGGAAGTATAGTGTACAGTCTCCATAGTGTAGTCAATTGGATTTGATGTTGACGTAGCTGTCGGTAATACAGTGTGATAATACAGTGTGATGGTACTATAGTACTTAGGTTTGGGCTTCATTGCTGGAATGCTAGATGGCATAAAGTAGTCAAATAGCCAGATGCAGAGGTATTATTGGCTAAACATTTTCTTTATTTTATTTTATTAAAAATAATTTTTTTATTAAATAAAAAGTAGCCTATAACCATTTGGGGACCACTAAGAATATGTGTACAAATTTTCATGATGATCTGTTAAGTAGTTTTTGTGTGAAAGTGTAACAAACATCAGAACTTTCGCATTTATAATATTAGTAGGGATTATTAAAACTTCTTTGAATTTGTTTTATTTTGAAATTAATTGCTTTAGTTAAATCCCAATTCAAAATTTTTCCCTCTCTTCCTGTTTTTCTTTTATTGTACCCGTGTAGGATTTTAATCTTTTGCATTCCGTATTCTTAAAAAGTCTTCAAACTCAGTGAGTCAGTGATAGCTTTTAATCTATTTTTTCTTTGTGCGATTTATATTTTTTGTGCCGTAATTTGTTTTTCTGCAAAACCCGCCGCTTAAATTCGCGTGCTTGCTGCTGCAATTTGTGCCCGCGCCTGATAACTTTCAGCGACACATACACACACACACACAGCCGCCGCGAGTCGCCCCGGCAGGCTAACGTTGTTTGCAGCAAGATGTAAATAAGTAGATGTAAAGATGCTAAAATTCTCGGGCGCAAAATTAGATTTTCAAGTCTTTAGTCTCAGAGCCTTGGAATCTTTCGGTATCACGGTCTTTGGTCTATAATCTTTACTCCCAACTGTTTCTTTTTTGCATTATTTTCCGGTTGGTATTTGTTTGTGGTTCAATTTCAATGAAGGTATATTAATTAGTTCAATATATTTTTCTATATTGAAGAAGAATAATTTTAAATTAAATTATGTACGCAGACAATTTTTAATTTTTACTCCAGCTACTACATTTTTCATCAAGTTTTTGTTTCTCGTAAATTTACTTATAGCATTATTCATCATTTATTTTTATTTTTTTGGTGTGGAGGGTTAAAGCGAACACTCTGATGTTAATCCAAGCACAACTCATTCACTAACACACTTTTGCTATTTACCACTCTGTTACCCTACTGCACTCCAGCTCCTGTTGCTCTCATTACTCGCCTTACTCTGTTACGCGGTTACTCTGTGAGCTGGATATTCAGTAATTTAATTTCTTTTTACTTGTGAGAAATTTGTAGTGGCGGATTGCAAAGAAAACTGCTTTAAAACATCAATCGCAGTCACACTCTCAGTAGCCATACAAATTTTTCTTTATTTTTGTATTTTTTCATTTGTAAATGATGTTAATGTGAATTTGTATGTTTGTGTCACTTTCACGTGAGAACCAATTAACTAATTTTAATAATTTTTGGTGTGGATATATTTTAGGTTATGGAAAAGACAATAGGTTACTTTTCGTTCTAATAATATGACTAGAAAGGACAAAACACCAAATATTGTTAGTTACAACATTTATAACTCAAGAATCACTGAACAGATTTTGATGATCAATAATTTATTAGATGCGTCTTTATCTGGAATAGCAGAATAACTATTAAAATATAATAAATTACTACTATATGATTGTTAAAATAACAAAAATTCATTTTCCTTGCGTTGCAGAAAAGTCTACGTTTCCAATTATCTTCATCAACCAAAAAAAAAAAAAAAACATAAAACGTTTTATGTGCACGTATTTTTCGGTATGCCATGTGTATTTGTCGTCTGTTAACCACCGCCTAACGCATGCATTACCATTAGCATTAGCATTAACGATAGCATAGCACTAGTAGCTGTATCAGTCTTGATGGCGTGGGCGCCTCTCCTCTCCTTTCTTTCACCCTTCTTCCATTCGGTTCGCTGCTCGTATTTATATGTAGGTACTTGCGAGTTGAGTTTAACAGCGTATCGATCGGTTTTGGGTTCAAAGCCAGCCAAGCCGAGCCTGATTCAGGCTCATTCGTTGTCTGCATGTGTATTGTCTATATGCATGTGAGCTTGTTTGTAGGTATTAGGGGTGCATTAGATTACGGCCGAAATAAAAGACAAAAGAAAAAACAAAGATTCTTTTGCGTCATTTGCCAAGTTACAAACTGCAACATCTAAATAAAGAAATATATTCTGCACCAATTTATGTTAGGTTAGGATAAGTGTTAATATATGCAACCAACATAACATTAATTCAATGTTTATAATGAAACTAGCTTTAACCCGCGGTTTCGCTCGCGAATATCTAAAATAATGAAGTTGCTTCCGTACGCGTCTGTAGTCACAGAAAAAGTAACAATGAAGTAGAATGGCGGGAAGTTTAAAATGGCTGAAAGTATAGTCTATGGAAGTATAGTGTACAGTCTCCATAGTGTAGTCAATTGGATTTGATGTTGACGTAGCTGTCGGTAATACAGTGTGATAATACAGTGTGATGGTACTATAGTACTTTGGTTTGAGCTTCATTGCTGGAATGCTAGATGGCGTTAAAGTAGTCAAATAGCCAGATGCACAGGTATTATTGGCTAAACTATTTCTTTATTTTATTTAAAAAATAATTTTTTTTATTAAATAAAAAGTAGCCTATAACCATTCGGGGACCACTAAGAATATGTGTACAAATTTTCATGATGATCGGTTAAGTAGTTTTTGCGTCAAAGTGTAACAAACATCAGGACTTTCGCATTTATAATATTAGTAAGGATTCTTGATTGTTACGAATTTAATTTTATTCACGCTTCATATTTTCGCGTGGCTTGCAATAACGAATAAAGGTGAAGAATGTATTAAGACTTAAATGCGTTTCGTGATACTCGTACGTGTGTGAACTGTGCGATGCATTCCGCCGAGCAAATGGAAATAGACTTTGGGGGGATGAAAAGCAGGGTGTGAGGGTGGTTGCGCGTCAAGACACTCGAAAGTGCATCGGAGACTATATCGTACCCGCCGCGCGTCTCTCCGGAGTTGTATCGGTTGCATTGTTCTTTGTTCTTAGCTTTTAGTGTATAAATAGCTGAGCGCTTACACTCGGCCAATGCCAATGCGAAGGGTTGATAACACGTTTGAGTGGAAATTCGGCCGAATTAGGAATTTGATACGTATCGAGAATTGCAACGCGAATCAATGTTGGCGAGTTGAAGGTGAAGGTTAAATGATAAAAATATATCAAAAGTGGCTTCTAACCTCAATTTACAGCAAATTACCAAACATAACCTAACATAACATTTTGTTTTGTGATGTTTTATTATAACGTTTTTATTGCTGACGCTTTTAACGCGCATTGTTCAATCATTCATCATTAAATGTGGACGTCCAGAGGATGGTTATTGACAGGTGTAGCGGTGGAAGCTTTCAACCAACACGATTCATTTATTTTACGTCTTTAACGGAATTAACTTTAATGTTTTCTTTAGTTTTTGCTTTAATTTCACGTGAATTTAAATTTAAGTGATGTAATTTATTGAATGATTGATGATTGTATTGGATATTTCTCTTTCTTTTTTTTTTGTGTTAAGTTTTCGTTGTTTTGTTGTTTGTCGTGCTTTCTGCGGATGATTTGTTGTCGTCGCCCCAGAGCCTTTTATTATTGTTTACCATTCACCTGCGGAATTGCTTTGTCCATTGTGTTTGAAATCACCAGCACCTTTGCAGCTCCAACATGAAATCGATACATTTTTTCATTGAGAAAACAAAACACTCTTTCTTCCATTCAACTGGAAATCATAGCTTAGCCAAGAAAATCATAAATAATAACAATTTCTATTTCCACAACTACAGATTTTACTATTCAAAAATTTTTATGTAAAAAAAATTTTTGTAATTAAATTTTTTCTCTTGAATGATGCTTAGTTTTGTTTCAAATTAATACCCTTGAAGTGCTTGTCTACTAGGATAATAAGACCTGATCTTCATAATCCTATCCCTGTCAACCTCCAAGGTCTTCTTCTTGATGAAAATCTCCCTTTCTAATTTTCCGCGTGTCATCATCAAATCCGCCTGGATAATCTCAGCCTGCTTCAGCTGTGACGACAATGCCGACACGTCATCATTGATTGCCTTCACCTCTTCAACCAGACCATAATGCCCTGTATCTCTGCAATTCTCCACGCGTGGCCTATGCATCCGTCGGTTATCCAACCTTGTCTGAGCGCATTTCAACGGAATATCCAACCTGCGAATTGTATCCCTCAACCGTACCATAGTTGTTTCAATATCAGCAATTTGTTTCAAATTCTTATGCAGTTCATTTTCCAGCCGCGTGCGCATCTCCTCCATGCAATTGATGCGACTCTGCAAAGCGTTCTCTACTTTATCGGCCTGCGCCCGGAGGTTATTAGCGGCATCTTTACTAATGGATTCTAGAGCTCCTCGTAATGTTACAGATCTTTGACGAGTTTGTTCAGACTCTTCAAGGGTTTCCCTTGTAAATTTCTCCCAGTGTTCTTGACTGGATTGATTATCAGGAAACCCAACTGCGCCAGGTTTAAAGAGTAAAACCGTTGATCTGTTGTTCAAAGCCACGTTGATTGCTTCCGCTTCGTTGGTTTCTTGTTTATCAGACCAGTCATTCTCCAGTCGTGATTTAGCTGTTTTGTTAGCCAATAGTTGATGTTCTATATCAGCCATTGCTCTTGTAAACTGTTCACGGATTTCCGAACATAGTGCTAACTCCCGAATAATCTCCTCTTCAACTTCGTCTCTTACAAGTTCAGGATCCAGTCTCCCTGTGCGTCTATCCATTGATTCACTGGTAATAGACTCAGGCATTTGTAAAACCGCCATGGATTGCTTCAATCTTCTTCTTGCTTCCAGGATATTTGTGATTTCTTCATCTGATGCAGATATGGCTCTTTCTAATTCACATTTATAGCGATGTAGTTCAGATTCTCGTTGTTGAAGGCGTTTGGTACTTGCGTTTTGATTATCATCTGCATTCCGACATGTTGAGTCTATAGCTGTTTTGGAATTGAAGTCCAGCATGTTTGCTCGATGTGAAGCATCCCAAATACTATCCAGGACTTCTTTATTCCTTGCTCTCCACTCACCCTCTGAGAATCTTGTTATTGAATATTTGGACACCACAGGTCTAACTCCGGTTATCCCTGCTAGAGGTCCCCAGTCTACGCGACCTGTGGCCCATGGTCCTAAACCTCCTGGTGCGTCTTCCCGATTATCCGGAAATGAATCCTCTGGTTTTGGTAGGTAACACACTCTGGATGAATCCGAATCTTTTTCTTCTTTCTCCGGTGATTTATTTGGATCAGCAATTGGAAACATCACAGGTCGTTCTTGGGCAGATTGATAACCACCTTGGGCACATGGACATTTCACAGTTTTAAGAATACCTTTTAATGGAACACCATCTCTGGTGGTTTGAATTGGTCCTTCTCCTTGTCTTACAGCTCTTAAAGCTTGTTCATGCATTTGTCTCTTAATCTCTGGTCGTATTTCTTGGCGATACAACTGATTGTCTTCTGAGTTGATGTTTTGTGCTAGGGGTGCATGTATTTCCAATGCAGGGTTACCAAATGTAGGTTTGGCATATGGATTATTGGTTTGGTCAACAGTGCAGATTTGTTTCCTTTGTAGAAAATCATTTTCCTGAGCACAACAACATGGAGTATTTTTCCGTTGTGGTTCTGGTAAACCTTCAAATCCTAATGGAGGTTTAACCACTGCGGGTTCCTTAATTGGTGAGACTGTAAGGTCAGGACGTTGGCGAGACGCAGGAATTGCCATTTCGGTTAATTGTCTATCCCGGACATCAGAGGCGTCTTTTTCAATTAATTCAGGACGTGGCACTGTATTGGTAGTTAAATAATCTCCATGTGTATCTGCTACGCGTGTATATCTCTTGGTATCATCACAAGCTCCACATATTTTCGAAGGGAATTCAGCCATTTTTTACTTGCAAAAAACTGCTAATTGTATAACGTTGTAAATGTCTTTTGGAATGTCGTTTAGTAATTTAAGGTCTGTCATTGTCAATTATCCTACTGTTGTGTTTCCATGAAAACAGTTTTTTGTCATTGTATTTTTTTGCTCAGCATTCTAATTTTCTAATGGTTTTGGTAGTCGGTTGTTGTAATTGTCGTTTTCTCTTGTGTAATAATCATGCGCTGGGCACAATTGAACTTCAGGAGACACTTGCTCGCCCGCTTGTTACGCCATTTCTCGCGAGTTTATGAGCGCGCTCGAGGTCGCGCCAAGGGTGAGAGTTTGGCAAACTTATTCAGGAAACCATGCAGCAGCCAAATCATTAAATTTTACTGCTTCTGTGGGTTTGCCTAGATCAGTAGATCATGCCATATTTAACTTTCTAGCATTGCATTGCATTGCAAACCTCTTATAAATTCAACTTTATCTTTTTGTAATTTAAAGAATAGAAATTTGTTCAGTTATTGAAACACTTTATAATCCTTTATTATAGATATATTCGTAGGGCAGTCAATCCTAACCTTTTCAAGCGTCCGTCAACTCTTTGCTTGCCATTGGCTGTACAACCTGATCCCGCCCTCTATGGAGCAACAGCCGTCAATCCACGCAGATTCAAACGCAATCAACATGGAAACGACGTGCAAGTATCACCATCACCAAGATCTCCTGGTCCAGTGTTACCTTTACGAAAAGTGAATAATCCACAACATTCCTACAACAATACCCAACCAATCATGGAAGGTGAACCCTCTGGGAGTTTAATGGATAATATACATTTGACAAAACCGCATAGTTGTCAAGTGGGTCCAGCTGGTCACGCGCCTCTTGAAAGAACACTCCCAAGTGATACTCAACAAAGACTAGATTCGATTTTTCAGCGGTACGATCGTCTATTTAGAACGGAAGCTTCGCCATCTGGTGACGCAAGTGTTAACCTACTAGAAAGACGCGACAAAGGAGATCCGTTCGAAAATATTGATTGTTTTGATAAATTTGAGAATTTGGCTAAACTAAGCAAGATGGAGGCTGGAAATTTTGATAAGAAGTTTAATATGAATCAAACAGCAAATACAACTGATGTATTCAACCTCAGACCAAGAGTATTTTGAAATTAATTACATTTTAGTTATTTTTAGTTAATTTTGATTTGTTTTAGACTCCGCCATGCTTAAAACATAAACAAAATGATGATTCAAAAGTTCAACCTAATTTGCCTGTTGCAGAAACATTGCAGGTTGAGGAAATGACAACAGACATGTTGGATGAGTTACTAAACGAGTTAACAGAGCATGGATTTAGTGAGAATTTGAACGAGGATCAAAAGAGTAAACTGATTGATCAAGAAGACCAAAAACAAACAAACACTGATCAAGAAGGTGAAAAATATCAACGATATTTACAAGAAAAAGAAGATAATTTTAAACTGGAACAAGACAAAATAACAAATGAATTATTCAAACAATCAACCAATAATGAAAAGAATGATAAGGTTACTTTAGTCACACTCACAATTTCCTACTATAATATTTCTTTTTAGGAATGTCCCGAGAAAGATATCCCGAAAAGTTTCACTTATTGTGAGATAAAACAATGTTTGTCTCCATCGAATGACGCCAACAAGAAAGAGAAAGATCTGTTGAAACCCGAACACGACCTGGACAGCGACGCAGAGAAGGAAAAAGAAAAAATGCGTGAGCGTGAAAAAAAGCCGGAGCTCAAACGCGCCCGTAAACAAGAGAGTGAGGGTGACATTTCGAGCAAAAAGTCAATTTCATCAACTACTACGACAAGCGCGACAAGACCTGGCGCTAGGATTATCCCAAGGATTATGGTGGATGACGCCATGGAGCTACATCGGACAAAGAGCTACGTTGTGAATTTGATTGACACTGCATTAAGCAATCATTTTGGGACACAAGTTAAGGATAGCACACATAAGAAAGACGTAAGACTATAAAATTTTTGTGTTTAAATATTGAATTTGTTGTTTTTTATTTGTAGAAATTACAGGCTAAAAGTGCAATGCAAATGCTTAAAAAACAGCCTTCTACAACGTCCAGCAAAGCATCACAAAAGGACCTAGCTGAGGAAATTGCGCATGTACTTTCTGAGAACTACGGATCAAATTCACGTCATTCTTCTATATCGAAAGGATTGTCTCAATGCTCTTGCAAATCTTCATCACACGGTAAAATTAATTTTCAGCAGTTTTGGTTATCTTTGTGTTAGGCAACCAACAATACACTAATGCCACCTTAATATGTGCAGTTTGTGTATTGTTGGTTGCATAATTTTCTACTGTATGTCACTTTTAACCTATAAAAATGTCAATTCTCAGAACCAATGTTTGTGAAACAATTGCGTCAAATGCGCTGGGGTCACCTAAAGCACATCCAACAAGAGGTGCGTCGCTTGGAAGAACTCGAACGCTTTCTAGATTCATGCAACATGTCGACATTTGAAAAGTGCCACTATCACTAGACCAGACTCACCTTGACCAAGGTCAAACGTGCCATTTATGCACTGGTCTGATGAGGCACTGAAATGTATACAATATTTTTATAAATATACAATGTTTTTATTATTTTCAAATGTTTATTAATTACATTAATTACATTTATTAATTACAAAATAGGTACAAATAGGTACACGTTCGCATATAAATAAGTAAAAAACAGACGATAACAGTATATAACAAGATTATGTACATGTATTTATAGAAATGAACACGCCCATAGAGTAAGTACGCTGCGTCTGCGCAGTCATCATCGTTTACTTGCTTTTTTAATACTCGTACTTTTATCATCACTTAATGGAATGTATTTGACTTCCTTGTACTTTTCATCAATAACTGGCAAATCTATGAAGATATCTTTCTTACCGCTAGGTGGAGTTGTTGTGGGCGTGTTTACAGTTAACTTTGTGATTGGTGGAGGCGTGGTTTTAATTTTACGCGGCGGGGGCGTGGTTCCCGAGGAAGCAATCAACACGTCTGAGATGGGAATTGTCATTGGCGTGCTTAATTTTATTATAGGTGGTTTTTTAGTTGTTGTGGTTGTTGTAGAAGTAGTGCTTGTGGTAGTTGACACTGGTTTACTTACATCGTCACTCCTTGCCTGGGCGTGGCCTATGTTAAAACTTTCTAGGTTATCAAACTGTTCACTATTCGAATCTAAATTCTGAAAATCCCAGAAAGTGGTTGTTGCTTCCGATGCAACTTCATTTTGTTCATCACCTCTCTTAGCTACTTTCTGAATATAAGTTTGTGGAGTTGTGGTGGGGGAAATGGGCGTGGTCACTTCATCACTCAACGTATTTCGTTTTAATTTTGTGTTATTGGTGTTGTCAATTGGTGGTGGATCAAATGTTTCTATTTTACTAGCGTTTTTACTCTCTTTGTCGTTTTTAAACAACTGCGCGGTGGTTAGTGCGCCATCTTCCGTTGATTCTTCAAATCTCAGTGGTAAATATTTTGGAGTTGCATTGGGTACATTCGGAACGATAAAGTCACTTATAAACTTAGGAGTGTAAGTGCTGACCAATGGCAGTATGGTTTCACGTGCGTATTTTTCAGCTTCTTCAAACATACGCGCCAATCGCTGTGGAAGAAACTGAACTGTTCTTACAATAGCATTGAACGCATCTTGCTCTTCTCTCTCGCCATTATAATTGTATACTCTTGCCCCACCACTACCACCAGTGGAATCATCATGGCGCTTCCATTTGTTTTCATTGATGGGAATCGTTGGAATCCAATCATTTTGTTGATGACGATTATTATTACCATTATCATCAGTTCTGGTTTGTATTAAGGGTGCATCAACATCGTAGAAGTTGTAAACCAGCTCCCGGTTGTGTTTTTGACCACGTGGGCGGTGCCTAGGTCTAGTGGGAGTAGAAATTTCATCTCTATGCGTGGTCAATATTGGTTTGACTGTAGTAGGACCCAAAATGGGTTCGGTTATTTCATGATGATGACCTGCTTCCCCAGATGATGATCTCCCGATTTTATTCTTTGATTGTGGTTTCAATATGGGTTCAACCACTTCTCTGGGGATATTATCTTCCTGGGAATGACTTCCGTTGTTTCTTGTCACTTTAACCACTCGGGAATTGAAGGCCCTGCTTTGTTCGCTTTCATTATCCACCAGATTATTATCATTATTCCAAGGGATGTTGAAGATGTCGAATGCATCCCTGAAGATTTGTGTGTTTTGGGATTCCTTTTTGTCTAAATCTTCAGATGAACTTGATGTACCTTCACGTTCCACCTCAGAACCTGACTTCACCACTGGTGTTGGGACGAATTTAGAAGAGTTTTTTGCTTTGTAGATATCATCTTCTTCATTTGGGTTAGAACCTAAATGTGGGGTATTTGGAGAATTTGGGAGGTTACATTCCCCAGGGTATAATGGAAGAACCACTGGTATTCCAGAATCTAATATTAATCCTTTGTTGCACACTGAAGCACTCCTCCCGAATGAATCACTTAGTGTGATTTTATCTATCCGCCATTGAAGTAAACCGGAAGTTAACCATCCGCTGTATGCATTGTAAAGGATTTGAATTTTCGTGGGTTCTAATAAAATAGGGTGGGGGACGATTATTCGGGAGACCATACTACCCAAACGCATTTCTTCATCTTCTTTTCTGAATTCAAAAAAAAAAAAACAAAAATAAATTAAAATCACTTTTATATGATTTTTTCTAAGTGTTATCAATACCTGGTCAAAGTAAATGTTTCATTCAACAATGAATCCCCTATCAAAGTAATCTGAATCTTTCCATAGCTTATAATAGGAACATCACCAGGGGTGCTCTCAATCTTGATGTTGTACTGATGAGCACAGAATGGTTCTTCATCTCTGGTGATAAGGTAAAGTTGTCCTCGACCTTTGGATCGATCAGCATAGTATCCCATATTACCACATTTGCGTTCATCAGTGCATGGGAAGCAGTTACCAGCTAGGAAATCATCATAGGACTCACAGGGGAAAGCTGGGAAGTGACAACGGGGTGATACAGAATCCGTGAAGAATTTGTAAGCGCGTCGATGGTTGCATAACGATCTTCCTTCAACAGCGGAAGCTAAAGAAGAATAATTTTATGATTTTAACCAGAATTGTGATTGAAATTTGAAAACTTACACCAAATTATATCACTGACAGCTCCCACAAAAATATTACTGCATCCTTTTTGCATTCGCCCTCCATTGGGGTAGAAATCAACATGACCCATAGGTTGCCATGAACCTAAACCTCCCAGGATAAGATTTTCACCATTGCTGTGAATTACATCAACGAAAGTGGCGTCGGTTTGATCTAAACGCGCCCGGGGGTCTTGGGATTCAAAAAGTGGTCCAGCTGGGTCCAATCCTATTAAAAATACATAATAATTTGAACCTTAAATAATAAAAAAAAAATTTTATTTACCTGTGATCCTACTTAAGTTACCAAGTTCAGCCCCAGCGAAACCAGCAACATGTGCTCCTAAACTAAACCCAACCAAATGTATATTCCTCACAGAGAATCCCACTTTGTCCACCATCCCGCTCAACAACATCCCCAATTGTTTCCCGACTAATCTTGTATTAGCCGCGGCTTTGACATAATTCGGAAGGGTAGCTCCATTACCCCAATCGACGCAAATCACATTCAAGTCATCCTGCCAATCAGATTAACCCGTCAATCCACAACACACCACAAATTTTAATTCAATTAACTTACAACCGCCATTAATGCACTCCTCATCTCATAAACCCATATATGGGAGCAATCAGAACCAAAGCCATGGATCATCACTTTTAAAGGCAACGTGTTGTTAAGACCTGTTTTGGCCCACGTGAATGCATCGCTAATATTCGTGAAGGGAAATTCACCCACAGTGTTGCCATTTCTACGGCTGCTATGACTGGGATACAGTAGGAATCGTGTAGAGATTTCTTCCGGTTTACTCGGGAGCATGTCCAAGTAACCAAAAGGACCTGATGCTTCAAAGCATCCCAGTTCTGGGTAACACACACTTGGTTCATCTCGTTTTCGCCTATGTAAATAAACAGAATAAAAAATAGGTTATGTTGTGAATAAGGTTATGTATTTTAAATTACCTATGTTTAAGTTGATTGTGTTTTGATTGCCATTCGTTCATCGATTGGACAACAGCGCGATAAATTTCCGCATCGTGGAGTTCGTCGAGTAGCTCCTGTGAGGGACTCGCCCACGGACCACCGACCGCTGAAACAATCCAAAATGGCAGCGTTTTCTCTCACCAAACTTTTCCACCCCGCCGAAAGTCTTCACTAACTCGTTTTCATCGTTTTAATTCCGTTTAGAGCCCGCTTTGGGGATTAAAACTTTCCGAACGGACGTATTTTATAATGCGTTTACATTTTGTTTTGTCTCTTTTTGCTTGGATGGCCGCCATTTTATCGTGCATTTAAAGCGCGTTTTAATAACTAATCGTGTACGACTTCCGCGCCGGTAATGCACTCTTAATGTCTTGATGAAAGCGCAAAACAACAATAACATCATAATACATTGACGTGCGCATCTGTAATTATATCGACGGTTGCATTTCTTATTGTTTTTGTTTGTTTGAGGTTACGTGACGGAAATGCACGCAAATTGCATTGGGTAAATAAGCGGACATTTTGTTACGTCCGGGCGGACAAATTGCACGTAATTATTCAACATTACCAGTGGGATACTTAGAAATCAATTACAGATAAAGACAAATCATCAGAAAGTTTTATTTGTGGATTTGTGTGTAATGTTGGTTGCCTATCATAAATTTTAACAAAATAAGTATAATATATTTTTTTGGTAATTGAGCGTATTTATATCGCTTGGTGAGCGAAATCCATCTATTTATCTCATCAAGTGAAATGTGTTTGAAACGCGTGAAAGTGTTTGATGTCTTCGACATTAACATTAGAAGCTAATAAAACGCACGAAGACGATCGCACCTGAAAGCCATCAACCAACCGAACACATGCGCGTTTGACGTCCGACATATTCGTCTCGACCATTTATTTAACGTCTTTGGAACGTTTCTCTTAAAGTACCCACTGGTATAAACGCTAAAAACATATGTTTTGACAGTTTGACAGGAAATTAACCATGCGACAGAGCAGAAATAAAAAGTGTCATAAACATAAACATAAAAATGTCAAAAGTGCATAAATTTCAAATCGACAAGTGAGTCACTCATAAATATTAAAAGTAAAAATCGTAAAAACCGAAAATAAAAATAAAATTGAAATGATTCACATAGAGTGATTAACACACTCTGAAATTCTATAAATACGTAGACGTAGTTTTGAAGAAGAAAAGTTTCTTTGTTGCATTCTTCAACGATGATCAATGAATGAAACTATGAAATTATTTGCTGCGGCGTTTCGTGTCTGTTATTTTTTTTTTGTGTGTTGGGCATAATTCGGCTAATTGGCATAGTGAAATGAATCACGTTCGAACACTGTGATAATTTGTGTCAAAATATGAAGCTTGTTCTTTCATTTCGCCTGAGCACTTTCACTTTAAACGTTTTAACGATCGCTAAACGCATTTTAAATACTTATGAAAACAAAACACACGAAAAAAAAAACACGAATATATAAATTATATAGGAACATATAAATTAAGAATTAAAAATATCTTAAAATTAAATTGTTTGGTTTTGTTTTGGGATTAGAATTAATTAATTTAGTTATTGGATATGCTTGGACCACTTTCACTCGATTTTTAAACCAAAAACACGGCATGTTGTTGATTAATTTTTGATATAAGAAACAACATTCCTAACCTAGCTTCATATTTGAAGCTATTTTTCAGTATAATTTGTTAAACAACAAGTTTTTTACATTTTTAAATTAATTTACAAATAATTTAGACAGCGACGTAGGCGTAAGTTGTCTATGGGTATAGCCCCATATAAAAATTTTTGATGTTGTCGTAGGCCCTTATATGGAGTGTAAAGGTTTTCCTTACACACTTTGGGAGCCCCATTGCTGGGGCGTTAGATAGTCAAATACGGCAAATACGGCGGTAGCTACGCCCTTTCTTTAGATAAAAATAACATGAATAATGTGTATTTTTGGTTGCCTACATTAAAATGTAAAGTATTCAGCTATTCGCTATTCAATTTTGATGTTTTTAGTAGGGATATTTCTTTGTTTTTACTTTTTAAATTATTTTACAAACAATTTTGATTTTAAATTTGTATTATTGGTTGCCTATATTAAAATGTAGAATACGCTACTCAGTTTTATCCTTTTACTTTTATTTCTTTGTTTTACTTGCGGTTTTTCAACGCAGTAAGTAACTAAAACTTAACCTCAATGGAACCAATTGGAACGCGTCAGGACATCGAGTCAAGAACTATACACGTACATCTGTTCCCCGCACATTCGGAAATATCGCAGTCGAAATCAATTCGAAGCCGTTTCCAGTGCTTCCACGATTCACATTTGCATATGTCGTCGTTGCTGCCACTGCAGGGCGACAGGACGCGGCTCGAAATTGTCGAGAACGTCCTCGATTCCAAAGAGGTTCTAGGGGTCCTACAGATCACCAATGCTCCAACTATTCAATGGAGACCGTATGTGAACCGGTAAAGCGGAAGAAAAAATCTCGAAAATCTAAATCTAAATCTGAATATCGGGCCTAAATCTTTTTTCGTAGACGCATTCGCATTCGCCTGCTGCTCGAAACGTCAAGTGTCACGATTGGGCAATTTATAGGCTCTTTGTTGGAGTGAATGTGTTGGACAACGAATAGAAACTTAAAATTTAGAACATTTGAAATCTAAATTGGGTTATGTTGCTTGCCTATGTAATAAATTTAATATTTCATAAATTTTAAGTAAAAAAACATTTTTTTCGTCTTAAAAATGTTTTTAGTTTACAGAATGTTGAAATATTATTTACTGGTTGCACCTGACATTTAAAATTGCAACATTTTATAAAATGTATTGTCCGAGAACATTTTTATTTCTATGAAGCAATAAAAACTTTCGCCAAAAGTCGAAATTTTAAAAATTCCAGAATATTGCAAAACAAAACAAAACAATTTAAAATAAAACTTTGCAACGTGAATAATTTGATCATTTCGGAACGTAAAACCGAAATTTATTCCAGATGTAAAAATAGTAATGAAAATATGAATGTTGGAATTAGCATAGTTTGTGCGCAGGTTGCAACCAACTTATGTAAATCGGGGCTAGCACAATGGCAAAACATTATTACGCACGCGCGCAATTATGAATCCGTATTTTTTCTATTTCGTTTTTGCGTTCGCGGTGGTTGACGCCACATTGTTCTGGCAATAATAATTATGCGGAGCGCGCACCTGAGCAATCCGGCAGATTGCATTATTATGTAAAAATTGATAATGGCCAATGACAACGTGAAACTATTACAAATAGAAAATGTTTAAATATTATAATTTATTTTTTTACGTCTAAACTTACACAATATTCATTATTTATGGGATATTTTTAAGAAATATGTACATAAATGTGCATAACCTCAGAAATATATCATAGGCCACCAACATAACACCACTAGTATATATATACAGTTGACATCCCTACTAATATTATAAATGCGAAAGTCCTGATGTTTGTTACACTTTCTCGCAAAAACTACTTAACCGATCATCATGAAAATTTGTACACATATTCTTAGTGGTCCCCGAATGGTTATAGGCTACTTTTTATTTTATAAAAAAAATTATTTTATAAATAAAATAAAGAAATTGTTTAGTCAATAACACCTCTGCATCTGGCTAGTTGACTACTTTAACGCCATCTAGCATTCCATCAATGAAGCTCAAACCTAAGTACTATTGTACCATCATACTGTATTATCACACTGTATTACCCGCAGCTACGTCAACATCAAATCCAATTGACTACACTATGGAGACTGTACACTATACTTCCATAGACTATACTTTCAGCCATTTTAAACTTCCCGCCATTCTACTTCATTGTTACTTCTTCTGTGACTACAGACGCGTACGGAAGCAACTTCATTATTTTAGATATTCGCGAGCGAAGTCGCGGGTTAAAGCTCGTATAATATAAGTTTTCTATTTGAGCGCCACCTATGCAAGAAAAAAAGTAACTGTAAATTAAAATTGACATTATTAACATTTCTTCATAACAAAAAAATAAATAATAAAAGAAAATCAATTTCATCCGTGCTTTTGACTTTGTTGAAATTTCCATGCTTCGGAAAACAGGTGTGTGCCTTGGTTTTTAGGTCAAGAACATCAAAAGACTCAACCAGTTCAAGCACATGGCATCTTTTCATAGCACTATCTTCATCTCCGTGCTTTATTTATATTCTGTATTTCACATTCTACTACAATCACTAAACTACAACCACATTCAAAGCCTGTACGCGTATTTCATTTCTTTCTAACGATACAATAAAGAATAAAAATAAACTCGAACTTGTATGCAAATCGGTCGAAATGAAATGCCGTTCGGAATATGGAATGAAAACACAGTTGGTACGAATGAATCGTAATCGATACCTAACTGTGGTTTGGGCTCTTTTTCGGCCGGGCAAACGATGCCCATCGGTTATGCAACGACACAGAAATACACTGACTTCGTGAACTCAAACCGAACAAAAACCAGAAGAAGGAAGAGATACAGACAAGCGGCGAGGACGGAAGTACATAAAACGATATACCGCTAGCTTTTATTGATTTTTATTACGGATAAACTTAATCGTTAAAAGCAGACAAGATTTTCTTTATAAAATGCCACCATTTTCATGCAAATGTTTACAAAAATAGCTTTTTAACATATTTTAATATATCAGACATTTATTTAGACAAAATGTCAATTTTTGTTTGATATTTCAAGTAATTTCAACATTTTTAAGCAAATTTTTTCTTAAAAAAACAAAAAAAATCAATTTTAAAAAAAAATTAAAGTTTTTCTTGATTTTTCGACAAAATTCAACATTTTACCACAATTTCCAATTTTAATCTTCTTCCCAAATGTTTTTAAAGTCAAAAAAACAAATATTTATCAAAAATTTCATTTTTTCTTGATTTTACTACTTAATCCAATATTTTAATTGATAAATTCCATCAATACCTAAACAATGCCAGTTTACTCTTCTAGTACTGCGAATATTAAGTTGGTAACCATAATCAAATGATTCTGATAGTGATAAATCGATCCGCGCTGCACAGGCCAAAATTGATGAAGATACTCAAACTCATTTAATGCGCAACAGCGCAATAATTGCCAATTTAGCTTCATTATTGCCGGCTGCGATTGTTTGTTTATGCTCTGATGACTGGATGGCCGCGAGGCTGGTTTAAATAATTACGCGCGGCTCTAATTAATCAATGCGACAGGTGCACGCAGGTGGATCGTATCGGATGCAACCGATCATCGATTTACAATAAACCACAGGCACGCCGCAGCGCAGAAAGGCGAAACCGAGCTGCAAATAACAGTAAACAAACGGGTTGTGCGCATCAGCAACTTTTATTTTCGACCAAATATTGTTTTTTATTATTTTTAGATAATATTGATGATAGATTCAATGATTTTTAGTTTTTATTGTTTTTTCGGTTTTTTAATTGGACTAGTATTGTGTATGTTTGGTTGCCTATATAAAAACTAATATAACCTGTCACTAATACAAAGTAATTCACTTTTCTGACCTTAGATGTCGCTCTATGTTAAAAACTCAGCAGGTTAGGTTAGATTTTTATAATTTTACTAGCTGTTGCCCGCGACTTCGTTCCGGCAGTGTTTAATAAAAATGTAATTCGTTTTTACTCTCTTGTTCTAGACATACTCGTAGTAAGAATCAATTCTATCAATAAGATTACCATTTTTAATTTAAAGAAATTAATTATTTAAAGTTTTTTCAATAATGCATTTCAGCGCGCCATCTCGAATTCAACTATTTAACTATAACTATGATTGAATCTCAATGTAAAATTTATTCTATAGAAAAGAGCTGTTTTGAGGATTTTCCCGGCAATTATTCGAATTTTTCTCACCTTTTAAACCTTCCCTAAACCTCCACGAATAATTCAAGACCAAGATAAGATAAATCCGTCCACCTGTTCTCGAGTTTTAGCGAGACTAACGAACAGCAATTCATTTATATATATATAGATACTTTTTTTGCCTCTGCAATTGTTAAAATTGTTAAAAACTCAACATTTATTAATATTTCTATTGAATTCTATGATGAAATTCTACTTTTATCAATAAATATCAGTATTACAACTAATTCAATTCATAAAAAAGAAAATATATTTTTATTTCCAATTGTGATTGGTCAGTATGCCGTGCACCAGTGAACCGATTGCATAATCAGTTCCTTTTTCACAAACTTATCACCACATTTACATTTCCGCTCCGCGTATGACCCAATACATCATACCTTCACTATTCAGTGTATTCAGTTGCCTATATAACAAAGTTTCAAAAGCTGTAAAATATCAGTTGCATATATCTCCCTCACATGTCATGTTAATTTATTTGAATAGTTGTAATCCCAAGCATTATCTTGTCATTCTTGTCATTCCACTCCGCATTGCCGTAATTACCTTTCTGTGATGGTTTAATTGCATGTTGCGCTCAATTTAAATTTCGTTGCGGCTAACAAATCGATTCGTTCGTGCGCTGAGCTCTAATTTCGCTCGTATGACTGCCTTGCACAATTAGCGCTATTAGTTTGAGATTTGTTTCGTCCGTGATTGATATTTCCTTAATTAGCGAATCACGCGTCGTCACATCAACACTCAAAGATTGATTGCGCGCCGGCAATTACTGTACAATTAAATCTTACGCAAAGGTTTATAATTATACATAACAAATTTAATTAAACAAGTTGAAATGAGTGACTTACCGCTATCTATCGTCGCATAAAATAAACACGTGAATGTTAGCAGCGCATAATGGTGGTATAATGTGCGCATGTTGATGCCATGAACACGCTGTATGTTTCGATGCGAGGTGATGCGAGGCGAATTCGATTTGGAGTTTATTCTCGCTCTAAATGTTTGGATTTTATTTTAAAATACTTTTTAAAATTTCAATTCCAGTTTGAATCTGCAACAGAAAATAAAATAAGATTTAATAAATTTAAATTTAAAGAAATATCAATAAATAATAAATAATAACAATAATATAAACATTTAATTATTTATTAGTCAATTATTATTAAATTATTACAATTTAACCTAAAAATAAATATTTTAATATAGGCAACCCAACTAAAATAAATACATACATATAGGTTATAGACTTCTAATTACAATTAATTTTAATTATTAATTCCAAGACCTCTCTGAACTTAATGACAGAATTAAAAATGATGGCACACTAAACTCTTTAAAGCCTTTAATACTTAAGTTCTAGTAATGCAGTAATTTTAGTGATTAAAAACATTAATTTGTACGAGAAGAGTAAAACGCGCATAAAATCAGGCTGTGAGTGTCTGCAAGAAGAGTTTTAGTAACGTCGGGCAGTCGCACCAGCCGGAAAACCCACGGAAAAACAGACTTTCTCACTCGCATTCATTCGCCTCCATTACATCTACGAATGAAACGCGAATGAAACTTGCCGGAAACCCACGCGATGGGTCTGCAAACTTTTCATATTAAAAATGAATGACTGTCCCGAGTGTTTCTCGGCTTTGCCCGTTTGCGCTTTCATTTGTTTTCGGGATTCGTTCATTTTCTTTCGTTTCGTTCATTTCGGTTTGCCGTAGTTTTCTTAGGCTTCTTCGACTAACTACTCTCTTTAATTCTTCTTAATGCCAACTAACTTCAGTTAATTGTTTTATCATACATTAAAACTATTCACGAAGTTAAAGAATGAGATATTTCATTTCATAATAATATTATTTTGATTTAAAGTTTCATGAAAGCTCAGTAAGTTTTAACTAAATTAAATTATTTAACATTTATCATTTCAAAAGTCATTTTTGGCATCAAATTCACTTTTGTTGCTTCCGTACGCGTCTGTAGTCACAGAAGAAGTAACAATGAAGTAGAATGGCTGAAAGTATAGTCTATGGAAGTATAGTGTACAGTCTCCATAGTGTAGTCAATTGGATTTGATGTTGACGTAGCTGTCGGTAATACAGTGTGATAATACAGTGTGATGGTACTATAGTACTTAGGTTTGAGCTTCATTGCTGGAATGCTAGATGGCGTTAAAGTAGTCAAATAGCCAGATGCAGAGGTATTATTGGCTAAACTATTTCTTTATTTTATTTAAAAAATAATTTTTTTTATTAAATAAAAAGTAGCCTATAACCATTCGGGGACCACTAAGAATATGTGTACAAATTTTCATGATGATCTGTTAAATAGTTTTTGCGTCAAAGTGTAACAAACATCAGGACTTTTGCATTTATAATATTATTAGGGATTAACGCATATAAGATTGTTTTATAGCTGAAAATACTACAAAATTTAATATTTTGCGTTGATGTATACTTGGTTGCCTATCTCCTACTTTCCAAAGCCGGTAAATCACACGAAAGTACTTAATACATTCATTTTTTACCAGATTATATACTTCCGTATGACCGTAAGTTTCTTCCGATTCTAAATACCTTCCTGCGATGTCGGCGATGAGCGCCGCAATTAAATACGATAATTAAGCGTTCATCGCGGAAGGAAAGCACACGCAAAACACGCGTAAAAACGAAAACCGGAAATAAAAATGCAATTCAAGATGAGAAAATAAAAATACGGAAAAAGGGAAATCCTTTAAACTGGCCATGACTATATAAGTCCTCTGTTCTTTAAAACTTTATGAGTTTCATAAAGAAAAAGGAAAAACTGATGCAGTAATTGAATATGGCGATGAAATCCAGTCGGGTATGTTGAACATTTTAAAACACGTTGGGAAAGTCGCTCGAAGCCAACAAATCAAGTCAAAGTCAAACGACAATAACAACTTTCTTTTCACCTGTCAATATTCGCGTTCAAAACATTCACATCCACACAAAATACAAAAAATGCAAAAAAAGTTGAATTTCTTGCAAATTATGACGTCATTCTTTATTTTACTGTCAAGGTCACAATTTCTCCAACGGAGAAAATCTAAAATCGAATTAATTACGATGATTAACATGAATATTATTAACGGATGGAAATTTTAGAGAGTGAATGTTATTACTGTTTCGGTAGTCCCAGTCCCCGCGTATAGATTTATGAAAATAAAAATTAAACGCAAAACGTGCGTTGAAAACGTAAACAGGTGAAACACACGGCATGCTGCCGCCTTTAACAAATCCAATTCCAAGTGGCTAAAGTGACTCAATGTTTTCGAATATTTACATTTCTCTTTTCGTCGTCTGTTTTACCGTCGGCGATTGCATAACCGCAGGAATTGCTATCATTTCAACGCGTTTAAGTAGACATACATGTGTATTAATTTCAATTGCTTTTTATATATCTGTCAGCTGTTTGCGAGAAATTACCAGTTTACCAACCGGTCGTTAAAGATATGAAATATATAGTTTATATTTTATTAAAATTAAGCAAATTATGTAAAACGTGAAATTTGTTGTAAAAGTTTTGTTTTCTTATAAATATTATGCAAAAACATTTAGGAACATTAGATTTAATGATATATTTTTAAATTGTGAGCATTTTTAGTATTATTTGAGGTATTTTGTTAGTAATAATGGTTTTATTTGATATTTGGTAATAAAAATTCATAAAAGTGGTCTTTTATCTTATTTTTTGCATTAATTTTTGATCACTTTGAGAAAATAACCAATTTGGTGTCTTTAACATTTTTTATGATATTTTTTTGTTGTCAAAAATCCTAATTTTTCTACTTCTAACTTTAAAACACCTTTTTTGAGGTTTTAAAGTGATATTGTATATACGGACGTCCAGGCTGTGAGTAATATCCATTATCTACGGGTATTATTTACGGGACGGAGCTTGCGCCTGCGCATTTGCCTACGGAGCAGCACAAGACCGTATGAAATGCCATGCGACGTCAGTCAAACACGTCAAAGCAGGCGCTGCTACTGCTCGTGTCGGAGCGGCACGATATGGCCCGACGCGTCACATGACCCAGCGCGCAGTATGGTATTTCTAACCTTACATTTTGTACTAGTGTGCGAGCAAATTTCGATGATTTAAAATAAATAGTTAAAATAAAAAACTCAACGTAAAACTTGAGTGATAGTAGAAAAAATAGCGTATGCATCACGTGGCTAAACATTGTTATACACTCGATTAATCAATCTCGTGAGTAAAGTCCACATTTAGCCACTTGATACTTAATATACTAAAAAATAAGAAAAAAGTGGTTCTTTTACAAATTCAACAAATTTTTAAGCCTCGTTTATCTTTAAACAATATGTCAATTACTCAAATTTCTCTCCGCCTTATTTTTAAAACCAGGAAGTTTTTGTTGCGTCGTGAAATATCAAAACTAATTGGTCTTTATTGCATGCCATTCAATAAAGTCTTTGACGGTTGTTTTCGGCACTGCTCTTAATTACGTTTTCGTATCGTGTAATTTATTGTAATCATTGATTGCACAACACAACACAAGAGATGTTCCACATCGCGACGTTAATTATCGAAAATTGAGCCGAAAAGTCAAAGAGTCAAACATGTAACACGCACAAACCCAACTGAAAATAAAAAATAAGTATGTCAGGAAAAAATAATGTTAATTATAATTTATAACAACAAACTTACAAGTCAGTATAGTTTATAATAAACAGCGGGTCTGCACAGAGGTCAAAAGTTAAATGAGTTTGTAACAAATTACAAAGTATGCTGCCGCTTTAAAAATGATTATGTAAACTGACGTGAACAGATGTAAAGTTATGTAAAGGCGTGTTAACCGCGTTTAATTCGCTCATCTTAAGACGTTTTTTTGTTTGTTGGATGTCTACGATCGAAAGGAAATAATTGCGGTGAATAATCAGTCTGGAAACGGAATTTTATTGCTGGGTTATTCGATCGTACAGTCGTAATTCGTTAATTTTTGGTCATTTGTTCACGCGCTCACGGAAAACGCGCTTCAAAAGATCGTTAAAAGTCGCGTAGTAATAAAAGTCAAATAATAAAAAGTAGAAAGCACAAAAATTAAACTAAATTAAATTGTTGGTTAATATAAAGTTTAGTGGTCATTAGGCAACCAATACGACATCAAATTATTTTTTAAATATTCAAATGTGAATGTTTGGTCACCCCGTGACTAAAACCCGTGACTAAAGTATTTTATACTAAAAATACAAAAAATATTTAATTAATTTCTAAAAAAAAGTTTCAATTTCTCATTTCGGAAAGAGGAAGTTAATGTTACGTGTGGTGTGGTGAGCATTGTCGCAATTATAACAATTACAAGTTATTGCTCTCTGCGCCGAAGAATCGAAGCGAGCCAAGGTTGTTCGAATGCGTGCGCCGCGTGTATCGCAAACTGACAATCACGAAAGTCGCGAGCGTCGCCGGTCGCAACGTAATCCGTAACATAATCATAACTTAATCAGCATGCACGTTAGCGTTCCTGCCCGTTAATAATGAGTAATCATCATGAATCGCACTCGCACATATCTCTATAGTGTACTCGTATAATATAGTGGCAATGAATCTAATCGAATGCAATAATGTTCTAATGTTATTAATTTTCAGTTTGGAATCGTGTAAACTGTGCATTGCAATCATGTCGTTAGCACTGTTAGCGAAGGTTGCAATCAATTTTATTACGCTCATTCAAACAAGAAACAAGTGGATTTTAGTATTTTAATAATAGTTGTGATGAAATGTTGGTTGCCTATATTTTAACCTAAAAATATTTATTTTTAAATATATTTTATAAAAAATTATTGTTTAACTTGATTTTTGTAGGTTTTAGTAAAAATGTGTTGATTCTATAAATAAGATTGATATTTTAAAGAATAAATAAATGCAAATAGTGCATTGTAACGCCATCTAGGGTTTAAATATTTAGTTATAACTATCATTGAATCATGAAAACAATTTTTTGTTGATGTTTTGATGTTTTCAAGATAAAATACAGTTTAAAATCACACATTGTACAATTCTTAGTTATATTTTATTCTGAACTTCTTTATAATACGAATAGAAATGTGATATTATGATGAACGTTCATTAAATCGTAATTACTCTAATTAAAATCTCGCACTCAGTGCGTACAATCCGTTCCACCTATCAAGTCAAACAAACATTAATCCAAAACACTTTTTCATTCCTTGTTTTTGTTTTTGTTTCTGTTTGTGTCTTAATTTCTAGTTTATTATTTCCGTCATTTCATGTAACTAGCGCCATCTATAAACTTCCCAATAAAACAAGTGAATAAGTGAATAAAAAAGAATCTCGCAATAAAAGTGAGTACGTAAAAATTAATTGTGTCGTAAATACACGTAAATCCTCTTACACTCCTAGTAAATAAGCTGATAGACGTTGATGGAGTTTCGTTTGATCGTAAACAAATGACATTCACTTTACTTCTATTGCGATTTTCTTTGTTTTAATCACACACAGCGCGACTGCGCAATCCTCGTTAATTTCGCCTACGATATTGTAAATTATTCCACGTACAATCCATGCACCTAGGCATCTCTTCTTCTTCTCGCACGTTCTTCTCCATTCCGCAGTCATGCACTCAATTAAAGTCCACAAAAGTCTCCTTCAAAGCGCGCTCGCAACTCGAAAGTCGTCGTCGCGCAGTTTTCTCAAGCGAGTTGTATTACAGTTTACAGTTTACACGATTACAGTACACACACACCGTACACCGAGATATAGTTTATATTCTAAAATTGGCAGCGTTTATATTTTATGCTTTGATGTTGACACATTGCAGCTTGTCTCGTGGATTGTGCTTGAGAATTCAAGGCTGAGCGAATGCAAAATGGAAAAATGTTTAAGAAGTAGCACTTTCAAGAGACTTAAGTTGATGCAATGTGCACAGCGCATGTTGCAATTTCATACTTATTCTCAAGCGAGTGGAAATTATTGTACTCGTAAATAACAAGCGTTTTACTCGTGAATTGAGAAACATCATTTTTTCGTTGTAAAATTCATAATTTTTTTATTTTTTCAAAGTTTTTCACATTCTAACCTCAATTTAAAGAAATATAACCTTAAAATTCATTATAACCTTCATTTTCAAAATGTTAGGTTAAGTATTTGGTTGATTCTATATTTTATTGACCACAATATTAAAAATTCTATTTATTTCATGCAAATATTAACATTTATTGATAAATTTACATTCTTGGCATTTATCAGAAAAAATAATTATTGTTACAAGGCTACATCAATTGACTTGCGACTTCTAATCATGTATGTAAATAGAATAAACGCAAATAATTACTTTTACTTCTTACACCTGTCATTACGCAGATTGTAATGTTGGTTGCCTAACTTTAATTTAATACTTAATTTTAAATTGCAATTTTCAACAGCTGATTACTTTTATTACTGCGTTTAAACATGTTTAAGGTTTATTTGGGTCGTAAATCATTCACAATCGAATTTTATTTCGGTTGAATGCGGTGTGTGTTGCAGAATATTATCGAAATTTTCTTGACGAAATCCAATCGAAAGTTTTGTGTCCAGCGCGCGGGCTTTTGGAGCTGCAATTTTATTGTTTCGCCTGCCGAATTGAATCGAAAGTAAAGTTTTGACAGAGTGAAGGCGCATTGCTAAAATTATTCCAATTTGTGCGTTTCTTGCAACATTTACGCATTGAAACACAACTATATATTAAGTCATATACTGATTATAATAATTATTTATTGATTTTAGGTTATAAACGCCATTTTGTTTCATCATATTGCTTATATTAATAATTTTTATCTTCTTCGATTTGTTTGAGCAACCTTCACAACTCAAAGATTATAAAATCTAAAATCACCGAACATTATAACTCCACCTGTAAATATATATATAGCATTTACATAACACGAAACAAAATAATACCCAAAAATATAAGAATCAAGAAAGCATTCAAGAATAACCGAAATAAATCACCGTTAATTTTTTAAAACCACAATTTGAAGGTTAAATCAATGTATTTAAAGTACAACTGAGGTTAGAATTAATTAACTATCAGAATATTGAAACAAATGCTTTAATACAAGTTTTAAAGTAAACATAACCTCAATGTAAACGTTTGCATTCGTCTAAACTCTACGCAACTAATCCAAAAGTCAAAATTATTCCACAATTTACTTAACAAACTTATTACCACCATACGCTTACTGAGTTGCCTATATTAAGAAATACGCATGCCAAATTAACCTCAAATTCAAATACTATGCATTCGGTAATTATTTTTGGAAAAATGAAGAAACATTTGAAACAAAGCATTGAATAGATGCATAATTACGGCATGTCGTGGAATGTGTTTCACCATTCAAACGATTCGAACAGTTCACGTGCGGTGAATGTTGTGTTGCTGGCCGAAGAAAGTCAAACAATCGAAGCATTGTTATTGAAACCAGTTGAATAATGCACAAATTAGAGTAAAACATTGTATGTATCTGTATACACTAAAGAAAAGCTTAAGAAAACATAGCAGAAAAACAGCTAATTATTTTAATGAGGAGATAAACAAAGAAATAATTACAATAAAAAACTAATTGATGTGAAACTTTATTAATCATTTTTTTAAATAAAAAATAAAAAATAAATAAAAACTAAGCAAATAGATTACAAAATAGGAAATAGAATTTAAAAAGAGTCAATATAGGTTTAAGTGAGTATAGTAAACATAAGTCACTTACAAGCCATCATCGAGTTGACTTAAGTCACTTTTCTTGTTTCGCGCGCGCGCACCTCATTTCGCTGCGTGCCTATTGTATTCCGCTGTGCGATTGTATGTGTGATTAATAGAAAACGCACTAATTGAGCACACACATACACATATGGATGTGTAAAACGCCAAACGATAGTTTTGGTATTATTTATGAGCACGGCATGGATTTTCTTCAGTTTAGTTTGCTTTCGAGTGTAAATATTATATGTTTTGTTAACCTACATGCTGTTGATCGGTGCAAACTCGACGAATTTGACGATTTCGATTTCTAATTAGACAATCATCATTAAACATTCATTTAAATAAAATTTAACAAAATCAGTTAAATTTTAATCATATTCTAAACAATTTCAATGACTTAAATATCAAATTAATATTTATTTAAATAATATTTAGTTAATTATAAATTTTTACTCACCTTTATTGTTTTGTTGTGAATTTCCGGGTAAAAATTAAAATTAGAATAATTTATCCAGGATATTGACGCACAAATATTTGAATTGTAAATGATTGTTTCACTGGGTATTAAAACGGTAATTCACTAACAAAATTAAATTAGCAAAATTAATTTATTTTAACTTTTGATTTGACTTAAGTCTTGCTTTGTTTCACAGTTATAATATTCAGCAAGTGTCTCTTCTCTATAATGTAGCTGAATTAATTTGATTGTGGTTTAAGTCACTTTGGTTTTTGGCGTTTTGCGCACGAATATTAATCGCGACGCGGCGTTTGCTGTCTCTGACGGTGAGCCACCGGTGCGGCGCGGTGCGCATTCGAAAGCGGACTACACTAAACTGACTTAAGTCAAGCACCAAGCACTGAACACGTCCGCGGCTGCCATGAAGCAAAACTGGCATGCAGAGAGAGTTCAGAAGAAGGTACCATCACAACAAAGCATAGGGTTATGTTTGGTTAAGTCAAGTTTACGTCAGGTTAATGATACACCGGAAATTGACCAAAATTGGTCACATTTGCACTTTGATGAATATTTATATGGACATATACCACGAGTAGATAAATGACGAAACCAATCAAAGCATAATTTTTGCATCAATCTAGGTTGATAACTGTTTACTGACTTGACCAACTAAAAATTAATTAAATGACATCTAATTACTCCTATAAACCAGATCATCTGTCGTACCATCAATTAATTAATCGTAAATTTCAAAATTTTGATTTTTTTTAATAAAACGACTTTGAACCATTCAAGGTTCACCTAGGAAGTGTAAAATCACCCAAATCCAAATCTAATTATCTCTTGTAAGTTAGTATGATGAAGGTACCTATGATCATGGTATGATGGGTGTGTCGATGTCGCGGTGTGTCCTACAATGCCAGCGAGCGAGCCGCGAGAGAGGTCTGGTGCGCGGTCTGGCTCTCTGACCTCGTTTCTTGCCGATGGTGGATACGTACACATATAGCATTACCAGCTGGTACCACCAGTGGTACCAGTACCAGTAACTGTACGGCGAACAGTAGCCGGCTGGCTGCAAGCAACAAAGTAACCATAAAGCAAGACTCTCTCTTCGATATTCTTTTAATCGTCTAACGCACACGCTCATTTTCGAAATGGGTGAGAGAGTACTCGTAAGTTACTGATCAACATAAATTATGATTTTCTAATCGATGAAAATCATTTTATGAAGGATGAAATTGCGTCAATTTTGATGGAGATGTTGATGATGATGCTGGTTTGTGAAATGTGTGAAATATGCGAATAAATATCAGTAGGTCAGTAGTCGAGTGTCAGTGGTTTCATTGTTTGCTCTTCACAGCTTATTAAAATTTAAAAAAATAAATAAAAATAAATAAAAATTATAAACTTAGGTTTTTTGATTGTAAAACATAATTTTTATATAAAACCTTTGAATTAATTAGGATTTTAAGTATAAACTGGCTAAATAAGAGATTTTGTCGTTGGATCATAGATGGCGTTAGTTGTAATTCTACCATTTTGTATTTAAATTAACCTCAAATATGATCTAATGAATTATTTCAAATAAAATTGATTTAAAACGCAAAAATAAACAAATGCAAATATAAGAATTTTACAATATAATATTAACAAAAATCCAATTTATTTCTATTTCTGTTTGTTTTTACTGAAAAACACACTTAACACAAACAATAAAAATTATGTGTGTTTATAGTTTAATAAACATCCAATGAAAGTTCTCCTCTCATTCATCATTAGCATCATTCGAAATTTAATAACCATCGAATGTTTTATGAGTGATTCTGAAGCCAAAGGAAGACTTTCCCATAGTGTAACGTTTAATAAATAGCTTCAAATACTTTACGTTGCGAAATTTCGCGTTTCTGGAGCGAACGCCTCATGAAGTGAACTATTGACACCCATTATGCTCATTATTGACTCGGCTTAAAGAGCACGAGAGCATGAGAATCGGAATCAGACTCGAATTGAACCAGGTAAGTATTTCTATCTTTTTTTCTTCTTCTTCTTTTTCTTCTTCCTAGTTAAATACAAAACGTTTTTTTTTATTTGCTTCGTTGTCTATTCTGTAGTTTATAAAAGAAGTAAAATGAGGACGATTAGACAACAGCTGACAATACAGTGAACAATGCTCAGCGTTCGTAAAATGTAACGCACTTTTTTCAACCAGCGCGCATCTTCTTTAGCTGGGTTTTTATTTCATGCGCAATTTTGCATACAATGTCTGAATGGCTGTAATTCGGTTTAATGCGGACTTCATCAGGTCGAATACGGTCGGTGAATCGCACATTAGCGATCGTTTTCTTTGTGTGTCTATTGTGTGCTTATTCTTACGCGGTTTTAGATTGAGTATGGCATAAAAACTTCTCCTATCACTTTACACAATTACAATTACACGCAAGTTTTAACCGAGTTCTCACAGCTGCAACTGGTTGTATCAGTGTCAGAAAATCAGACGCGGTGCGAATTTGCTGTTTCACACCTTTTTCACTCAATGATTGTTTATTATATTATTTTATTCATATTTATGTTGTGAGTCAAGAATAGTGTTAATTTGACTACTGACCTACTGCTATTTATTTGCATATTTCACATGTTTCACAGGATAAATCATTATTTCTAAATATTAGTTAATTTTATTAATATTGATGAGTTTTGCAAAGCAAGAATGAAGAATAAAGAAGAATGGTAATGATCTACTCATATTTATTGGTATATTTCACATATTTCAGTTGTGTGTGATGTGGAACACCATTTTATCATTCAAAACAAGTTTTATTTTTATCCTGATGTAAACAAACACATAAAATGCTAAAATCAGACAGCTAGCGCCATCTACTGTCGAAAAATGGTACTGATATTAGTATTGATAAATTGCAATTGATAAAAAGCAAAAAATAGTAAATAAACAACAAAACAAATAACGTGTTGATATTTATACGTAGATTTTAGAATTACACGTTCAATATCACTTATTACAAATGAATTATTGCACATTTTGTGTTTTTTTTTCATGGTTTTTAATGCATTTTATTGTTTTATCGTAGAAAATGATTAAATACTAGCTTTAACCCGCGGCTTCGCTCGTGAATAGTCTGTAGTCACAGAAGAAGTAACAATGAAGTAGAATGGCGGGAAGTTTAAAATGGCTGAAAGTATAGTCTATGGAAGTATAGTGTACAGTCTCCATAGTGTAGTCAATTGGATTTGATGTTGACGTAGCTGTCGGTAATACAGTGTGATAATACAGAGTTATGGTACTATAGTACTTAGGTTTGCGCTTCATTGCTGGAATGCTAGATGGCGTTAAAGTAGTCAAATAGCCAGATGCAGAGATATTATTGGCTAAACTATTTCTTTATTTTATTTCTTTTAAAAAATTTTTTATTAAATAAAAAGTAGCCTATAACCATTCTGGGACCACTAAGAATATATGTACAAATTTTCATGATACTCGGTTACGTAGTTTTTGCGTTAAAGTGTAACAAACATCAGGACTTTCGCATTTATAATATTAGTAGGGATTTTAAAAATACACGGTCAATATCACTCATTACAGATGAATTATTGCATGTTTTGTGATTATTTTATTGTTTTATCGTAGAAAATGATTAAATGCATTGAAATTATTAATTATAGAAGCGACAAAAGCTTGTTTTAATTAAATTTACACAATATAATGATTCTAAACCTAATTTCTGAAGCAGTTACACAATTATAACATTTATTAAATTCCATCAGTTTAAATTTAAACACTGCAGTGGTATTACTCATTCAGATAAAAGGTTTTCCTGCTTGCATTTTGTTTGCTTGCTTGAAAATTGTGATTGTTTCGCTCGCAATAGGAGTGGTTGAAGTGGCTAATAAGAAAAGTAGAATTCCCTACGTGCGCAAAGATGAGAGCGCGCGCTCGCATTGTTCGCGACGATTAACTAGATTAAAAGGCGGCGGCGCTGTCCTGGAAAAACACAAATCTAATTTGCGTAATTAGCTCTCGAACGCAATTTGCGCCATGTAAAACTTTTCTGCGAAAAGCAAAAATATAATTGATTTAAATCCGAACAATGACACTTTTTATTCGTTATATTCGTTTCAGTGCAGCGCAATTTAAATTGTTATTAACCCTGGGCACGCATCATCAACATGAATTGTTTCGCATGGCTTTGTGCTGTCAACGCAAACGCGTGTTTTACCCCGGTTGTATACAGTTTACACCCTTTTTGATTTATGACGTCATTTGGCAGCCATTTTGCGCGCTTTCCGTGACGACCAATCAAAAATGTCAAACGTTATAAACTTGGGTAAAGTGCACTGCGTGCACGCGAGTCATTAGTCTGAGATAATTAATGAAAATTACGCTGAGAGCTCATGAATTGACTGGCCCATTAGCGCGATTATCACAAATCGCAAACGATAATCACGCGTTTACAACGCGCTTTCTTGTGCTGCGGTAAGTTTTAATAAGAGGAAAACAAGGTGTGCGGGTTTTTTGTTGCCGGAGAATTTTGTATTTGAAGGATTTCTGTGCGATTTTCGATGTCTTGGATGCATCATTCGAAAGTCGGAAAGTGAAATTTTCGTCCGAGCCGCGCAACACCCAGAAGGAAGCGCGGCCGAAAAGAAGTCAGGCCGGTCGCTATCGAGAGAAAGTCACACGAGCGTCAATATCAGAACATCCAAACGCACCCAGTAGTCACGCTAATCGTCCGAGTCTTATTTAATCAATCAATTAATATGTGTAACACGTACTTTTACAAAACACCTTTTATTAACGCACAAAGTTCCTAAACAATGTCGGTAATAATGTGTGTTGGTAATTTAGTATTAAACGTTGCATTAATTTTATTGATTATACATAAATACTTAGTAGTTTATTACTTAAAAATATATTAAAACATCTTTAGAAGTTTTGCAAATGAAATGATTATTTTTTGAAGATTTGAAGTTGTCTATAGGCAACTTATTTAACACCGACAAACCACAAATGACTACTATTAGATAAAAAGTACAAATAAAATAATATTTTATCATTAGAAAAATAATTTACAAACAAATCAAGCAAATACAATTACAAATACCAAAAATTACTAAATACATTTACCTATTGCATCCAATCACAAGTAAATATTAACAAAATTCAAAGAATTACGATAGGCAACCCAAAATACACATAAACCTACACGTGACAACAGCGCCTTCATTCCATTGCGTTGTCGGTTGAAGTGAGAATTCCATGTTCCGAATGATTGCAAACATTCTTAACCCAACAAATGCTGTAGACATTAAAAATTCCCAATTACCTGCCATTAAAACGTGATAATTTTGTGCAATAATGGCTGAGGATGACGATGTAGACGTGCTTGGTGACTATAGTTTTGATTTGCTCAACAAAAACGATTCGTAAGTAGTCAACTACTTTTGTAATTTTCCTTAACTTTTTTCTCCCACACTAACAATTAAATTCCTTAATTCCTTAGAATTGTAGACTTGCAGAATATATAATTAGTGTTAACTTGTACATTTGTATAGTTTTGACGGAACGCCACTAGTTAGTCAAAATTCCGACCTCTTAAACTGTGACTACACAATACATCCGCAATGGTTACTGGACAAACCAAGCACAAATCCAGCACTATGGTATGACACAAGTGATCTAGATGCTTCTGATTATGATGCCCAAGCAGAACCTACTATTTTGTCACAGCAGAATTCAATTACTGATGAAAGTGGTTGGACAGAAAAGGAGAAGGATCTTTTGAACAGAGGAATTGAGATATTTGGCAAGTCAAGTTTGAATTTATCACAATTTATTGGTTCAAGAACTCCGGCAGAGGTGAAATATTTCCTTAAGAATTTTTATTCCGATGTGCAGTTATCATACACTTCTGTTAATGAAGATATTTTGTTTGATAATTGTGTGGAGGAAACAGTGGTGACATCTGCGAATGTTTTACAAGAATATGAGATTCCTGCTAGTATTGAAGAGGTGATAGATGCGGTTTCAACAGCGGACACTACCACAGTACAGAGAAAAAGGACGAATTCAACGAAGAAATTAAACGGTGGTGGTTCACATATAAGTTATGATAAGGTTCCATGTGGACAAAGTTTATTAAGGTCTAATTATCAGAAATCTAGACAGGATTCAATTTTAAAGGGAAATAGCAGTCCAAGAATGAAGCAAAGAAGTCCAAAAGTTAAATTTAAAACAAAGTTGAAAGTTCTCACGAAAAATGTGAGAAGACCCAGTGTGAAATCACCAATAGCCAGAAAAATCGAAAAATCTCCAATCAAACATCGCAGAAAACAATCTGAAAGTGATTCAAGTCAAAAATCACAAGAGAGTGATGGTTTAGAAGTAAAGAAAGACTTGAGGATTGTCACAGGTAATGGACCAGGTGTCCCCGTTTGTGATGGTGAAGTAGTCGTGAAAATTATAAAGGAAAACGACACAGAAAGTGATACAGATGTGGATATTGATGTTGAAGACGGTGATGATTTTATTAAAACAAAGGATAACTCAACAATACCTCAAATAAAAACTGATAAAGTAGAAGAGAAGCATGAAGTTGATCATCCACCAGATACACAAAAAGATTTAAAAACTTCAAATGTCAAAAAAAATAATTTATCTAACCTCAATAAAAGTCTACCTAAACGCGGGCCACAATTTGAAGAACTGCCGGAATCTGTTATAAAAGACCTTCTGTCAATGGAAGAACCTACAGCAGAAGTATCAATATCTCGGGAAGAAATAAGCGATGTAGAGAAATATCTATTCTACGAATTCTTCGAAGGTCGACCGACGAAAACACCAGAAAGATATTTACACGTAAGTAAAGTACAACTGGTTGCATATTCACAGATTTATATTTATGTAATTTTTATATGTTTAGATTCGTAACCATATTTTAGAAACGTGGAAGAAAACAAAACCAAAGTACGTGCGCAAGACCACAATACGCAATGGTTTGAAACAAGCAGGCGATGTTAATTTAGTTGGTCGTATACATTCGTACCTGGAACAAATCGCCGCCATTAACTTCCAGTGTGAAGAGACTAACTATTGTCGCCCTCTGTTGGAGCTTGCAGCAGTATCGGTGTCAGCATCAAAAGATAAAGCAGTCGTAATAAAAAGTGAAATATTACCGCGACAAAGGACAAAAAAGAAATACATTAACGTAAGAATATATCTATATACATTCTATGAAGTATATTACTTTATGTTTCTAATTTAATTTTTAATTTTAAGGATGGTGAAGGTGGTTATACATTAACTCACGATGAAAAAGGTGAAATCATTAATACTACAGTCGTTAACGAAGAACCAGCAGTAAAACAACGTAGTTATCTGAAGAAACCATCAATACGATTGGTTTACTGCCGGCCATTTACTGATGAATATCCAGTAAGTATCATAACCTATAATTATTACTATTTATACTATAATCCTGGTATTTTTCTAGCAAAAATACTCAATAAGTTTGGACATTAGCACCTTAATCCTAATGGACCTCCATGCACACATGCACCTCACTGAAGTGATGGGTCTCATTGGCGGTTACTGGTCGTCTGCTGCCAAAAACTCGTTATAAAGCGATACATTCCCTGCAGGAACATTGCATCATCCCAGACACACTGCGATATGTGCCCGATATCGCAAGCAAAAGCAGCGGAAACCTTGCATGATGAAAATTTAGACATCCTCGGCTGGTATCACTCGCATCCTACATTCGCACCTGAACCCTCCCAGCAGGATATCGAAACGCAGTTGAGTGTGCAACAATGGATCGGTAATCGTGTGCCTTGCATTGGTTTCATACTCTCGCCGTTCAGTTTGCATGGCGCGTTGATCGCGTCGCCATATCGCTGCATGATTGTCAATCGAATGCGTTCCATTAAACAAGATGGCGATTGTCATAAGGAAGACGTGGATGAAGAGCAACAGTTGGTGCCTTATAAATTTAAAGTTGATTTGATTGTGGAGAGATTAAACGTGGGCCAATTGATTGAAAGAGCGAAACAGGTTTTTAGAGATGATCGAGACAATATAGAGAAAGAAACTAAGAGCCGCGTGGATTTTGGTAAGGTATACTTCCAGGATAACACCATCACCTACTTAGATAAAGTGAGTAGACATTATTTTCATTTTCAAGTTAAAATGATGATTGTTGAATCAATTGTTTTCTTGCAGTATATTTATAGTGTAAAAATGCACTTGGCAAAGTGTTCGGGCATCAATAAAATGACCTGCGACGCCATCATCAATGGTCTAACAAGGATATGCATGCATTACTCAACTGTGAATAAGTAATTTAATTTATTAAAAATAAATTTATATGCTGTTTAACTTGGGTTCTGATATTCTTGTTAGGCCTTGTTTTTGTACCTTGCAAACAGTTAAATCTGTTTCAACGCTTGAGTCAAATCCGCGATTAAATCCTCGATGTCTTCCAAACCCACGGAGAGACGCACCAAGTTATCGGTGATGTTAAGGAGTTTGCGTTGTTCTGGTGGGACTGATGCGTGTGTCATCACCGAACTAAACAAAAACATCAGAATCAGATGTGCTAAGCAATATTGACTTAACTAATTTTGTTGTATGTTTAGTTGCATAATGAAATTTTGAGTTGTTGATGACTTACGGAAGTTCAGCGAGACTTTCATATCCTCCAAGACTCTCCGCCAAGGTGAACACCTTCAAAGCAGTCAAGAATTTCTTCGCTTGTTCAATTTCTCCCTTCAAGTAAACAGTAACCATGCCGCTGTGCCCAGAAGTCTGCTTTTTAGTTAATTCATAGTGCGGATGGCTTGGTAGGCCTGGATGTAAAACTTTAACGACTTTTTCGTGTGTTTCTAAGAACTTTGCCACAGCAATTGCATTTGCACTGTGCTGACGCATTCGCACCGCGAGAGTTTTAAGACTTCTAGTCACCATGGAGCAGTCGAAAGGTGAGGGCACTGCGCCCAATGAATTCTGCAGGAAACGAAGGCGTTCATTCAAATCAGTACGATCGGTGACAATCGCACCCATTACAACATCAGAGTGGCCATTCATGTATTTAGTCAGAGAATATACTGACATGTCGGCGCCTAGTTCTAAAGGCCGTTGCAAGTACGGAGTTAAGAAAGTGTTGTCTACAGCGAGGAGGACATTACGGGATTTTGCAATGGCCGCCACGGCGCGAATGTCGTTTACTTTCAGGCAAGGATTTGTTGGTGTTTCTAACCAAATCAACTGAAACATTATTTACGATTAAAGTTTAAATATTTCATAAACTATGATAAATTATTAATAATAACACACCTTAGTGTTAGGTTTGATGGCAGCTTCAACTTTGGTAATATCAGTTGTATCAACAATAGAAAACTCCAAACCAAACTTGCTGGCAACTTTGCTGAACAGCCTGTATGTGCCGCCATAGATATCATCACCACTGATAACATGATCCCCAGATTGAAACATGCCTAGAAGTGTGTTGGTAGCTGCTAAACCAGAAGAAAAGCACATGGCATGCTTGGCGTTCTCTAGGGATGCCAGGCATTCCTCCAAGACATTCCTGGAAGGATTTCCGGACCTTCCATATTCAAATTCCTAATTATCCAAAGAAAAATTCAGTATGATTTAATATAGAACCAACTTTGTTCATTAAACAGCATATTACTTTAAAATTAGCAGGTGAATATTGCTTGAATGTGGTGGACATGACAAGTGGAGGCACAAGCGCCATGGAGTCCCATTTTTCTGGTTCCTGGCCGACGTGAATCGCCCTTGTTGAGAAACCCTTTGGGTATGGCAAGTATCCTGGCTGATCCATTATCTAAATTAATATATTTCAACTTGAACACATGGCATAACCTATATCAACCCTTTGTATTAACTTTTAAAACAAATCTTATTGATTTCACAAATTTCTCTTAGAATGCGTAACTATTAATTATTACTTACTTAAGAATAACACTTTAATAATTAGAATTAACAGGTTTTAACTAGTATTAACACCACAACTAGGGGACAAGGACGAATAAGTTCCCAGCTAAGCACACACATAAAGTGAACTTGATTCCAATTTAAAATGGTTTAAATATATCACAATCTCAAATTTAAAGTGGGGACGAAACACGTTCGTTCATAAACGAGTCACGAAGATAAGTTAGTTTGCAAATGTGCAAGTAATATCTCAATTTGTAGACGAGAAATATAAACAAGAAACATGAAACTTGAAACCTAACAAAACACCATTAAAACTCACACAGAAGTAGTATTATTATGTATGCACATAAATATTCATTTCAAAAGTCGCACTCCATGAATTGTGTTGTTTCTATGTCGCATACCACGTTTATCGTTATCTACATGTTGCAATGATTCTAAAATAAACAAACATCAGGCGACTACGTCGACAAGCGTTGTGTAAGACTCAAATAATCGACAATTAAAGATCGCATGTACAGAGGACGTGGACCTTGATAATTTTCAAGTAAAAACAAACATTTCTCTGCACCCCAACATAAACAAAACAATTCAGGATCATTTTGGGGTATTTGGCCATATGTAATCAAAGAACAAATAGTTGTTTATATTTTGTTTTATATCGTAAAGTACCTTTTACCAAATATTCTTCGGTCACTCGCTTCCTGACTGTTGCGTTGCATTTGAGAGTATAACAACATCACATTAATCTCTCATTCAGCAGTCATGATAACGCCAACTGCGGCATGTGACAAGCTCCGTCTCATCTCCGTTCTCCATTGAATCGCGATACATTATTTCGACGCTGTTAATAATTTAAACAATAATTTAAATACACATATCAATTAAATATACATCATAAAAAATAATAACATTAATATATGTACAGAATCGTTCAAGTACTCAAAACAAAACGTTCGCTAAAAAACCGAATCAAAAAAATTATTTAAGTGTCAAGTTCACGTAGACGCGGACACACAAATCCAGAAATATCAAGGATGTGTCTAAGAAAGTGTTTAAAAATGTATTAAAACCTACGTTTTGTCCCTAGTTTTATATACTCCTACTTAGTATGCATACAAAATGGCTTGCAGCTCGCGGCTCGCTTTCCGTGTTTCGTTGGTTGCGCACTTCTCCACGCAAATGGCGGTGGTGGTGGCTTCTTTTGTATAGTACATATGTTTATGTTTAGTAAGTAGTGTTAATTTAAAAATAATTGTTATTTGGACTTGGATTGCGCACTAAGCACGCACTAGGTGTTCGACGATTGTCAAAGCTCCTTGAGCAGCGCCGACTTGGCGTTTTTGAGCTTGTCCAGACGCTTGATGAGGTGCGTGTTGGACACTTCTAATTCTTCCGCTCTACTCTGAGCTTCCCTCGCCTATAAACATACAAATTATTGTTAAGAAACATAGCAGGTAGTCATAGAAATAAAATTATTAGCCTGTCACCAAAAGCCACACTTATTCTAGTTGAAAAACAAAAAAAAAACAACAGATTGTAAGCACAGGTAATCAAATTTTGTCAAAAAACAAAGTCTCAAGATTAAAACAATCAAATTCAAAGTAAAGAGTTCCAACCACGTGACAAAAAGCAACACAACTATTCATTGAGGATTCTTATTCAGTTTTTTTGTGAAACATGTCCGCCATTTTTCGACTATTCAGTCATTTTTTAACCTCAAAAGAATATTTCTCAATCAATGGGTGCTGCAATTTGAACGTGTGGAAGTAAAATAATGTTCTAATTTCAAAATAGAAAAAACATGAATGACGATGAACAATGTTTGATGAAACTAGCAGTTAAGACTTTGAGTTTTAGCACAAAAGGTGATGCAAGCAAGTCAATTAGTGTTAGTGCCGTTGTGTCTACCTTCAACATCATTATCAGTATCATTATCATTATCTGTGTAACTGTAAGTGTAAGAGCAACTACTAAGTGAATCGTCCTGCAATCATATCAATAACCACCAATAAAAAACAATGAATAACTTATAAATTACCCTACCATTCAATCAATTACCACTACTAATATAATAAGCTTTTGATTTACCTCTCGTTGCAGTTTCCGTTTCTCCGCTTTGAGCGCCTCCTCGCTTTTCTCGGAGATCTCAGCCGCCGACTTATATCGAATCACCTGGCTTTCCAGTCTGGCAACGGTCGCTTGCATCGTTGCCACATCTTGTTCGGCTTTCTGCGCTCTGAATTTATATTCGGCTAATTGTTTACTTGCTTCGCCTAAAAAACATTTAATAAATTAAATTAATTCAAAATGTAGATTATAAAATTCTTACGTTGAATATCAGCAGCATCACTATCCGAATCCGGTCCGTTCAGAGCGCTGCTGCTTTTCCGCCGCTTGGCGCACTTCTCCTCCTCGAGTTCGAGCTTCAGGTGGCTAATTTGATCCAATAGCTCAGAGCGTTCTGTAGCAAAACGTGCCAGCCGCACGTCGAGACTACCTTCGCCTGCGTTTTCTAAAAGATGCGCGTTTTCCGCGCTCACTAACGCACGCCGAATTTTCGGCGTCGTCGAGTTTGTTGTCGCACTCGTCGTGGGGCCATTCGTTAAACCAGCCGACGTGTCCACATCGTCGGCGGCAACAATAACTAAACCCTTCTCGGCGATGAGTCGGTCGCGCTCGTCCAACTCGGCTTTGAAGAGCGCTAATTCATCCTTCAACTGCGCCGTTACCCGTTTCAGTTGCTCAAAGTCACGACACTTGTCTTTGTGTTCGCGCTTCACCTGCGAATGTTCCTCTTCCAATTCTTCTAACCTACAAATATTCATAAAGTTAAAAATTTATTTAAAAAAAAAACTGATTGCGTTTATTTTACCTGTCTTTAAGAAGTTCTAGTTGATAAGTCTGCGCCGCTTTGTCATTATCCAACTGCGCATTGGCGATCATCGCCTTGCGGAACTTCTCCTCCACCTCCTTGAGCTCATGCTGCAAAGTCAAATGCGTTACCAAAATATTCGACAACATCTTGTGTTTCTGGTGTTCACGTGCACTTTCGCTTGGCAATTGTTACATTCTGTGCGCTAGTATGTTATGTCATTCATCTTGGCACAAACACACCGCGTGAAACAATTGCCAATTGATAGTTTAAATAAAACTTACTCTGAGATCGCGCAAACTGCCAGTGTCCTCCAGCGAGTCCTCCGATGAGCGCCGCGATTGCAGCAGGCTGCGGACGGAAGCAGGAACCGGCCGCCGCACTGCCGGCTCGCTGAGCATATCAAACTGTCGGTCGGCGTTCTCTTCCTGTTCGCGTTGCTGCCGCTCCAGGTCCCGCATGCGAATCTCACGCGCTTCGGCTCTCGCTGCACGACGGGCCAATAGTCGTGCTTCAGCCTAAAATAATAAAAAAATTATAAATTTTATAAAGTTTTTTATAAATTAAGTAAGTATATTCTTTTACATTTTTAATTTTAATATTATGAAATATTAGTGTTAACCTTTAATCATTCACAACACATAAACCTCATTAAAATCATTTATTATTTACTTCATCTCTTTCACTTTCGAAATACTGTTCGACACTGCGATCGCCCGATGCCCAACTTGCAGCCTGCTCTAATTTGTGAATAACCACCTCGTTATCGGCCGTGGTGAACCGCGAATCCACATCCACGCCTGTGTTCGTGTTCGAAATAATCTCAGATTGGCCCACGTCCAATTGTTTCTCGTCCGGACTTTCGACATCTTTTAAATTCGTTACTTTCTCACTTTTCTTCACATCGTTTAGTTTTTCGTTTGCCTGCCCCATCGTTTCACTCTCCCGACACTGCAACGATTGATTTGTGACTGGTAAACAATTACTACCATTATTGACATCAACGACAGTTTGAGTTTGTGCGCTTATCTGCAGATTAGGTGCGACGGAATGTGAATACACTTCCCGTTCCATTATGAAAAAACTTGTTCGGCGCAGAAAAACAAAACGCAGTTAATAATATTTATTAAATGCAACAAGGTAAAAAATAAAACGAGGTAGGAATTGAAAATAAATTACTACTCAGCGAATTTTCGAATGATTTGGCAAATATTGCAGTCATTTGCGAAAATTTTGTACCGTAACAAATTATAGTAACACCTCACTGACACACCTTTCACATCAAACTCAATTTCAAGTCTCCACTCTCCACAATGCATTGATAAAATGAATTTGACTCGATATCACAGATTAGATTAGGAAATATTTCAGAAATCTCTGTAAACAGAAATAGCCCAATGAAGAAAACGTCTGAAATCATTACATCTATATATATAAAAATGAATTGCTGTTAGTTAGTCTCGCTAAAACTCGAGAAGGGCTGAACGGATTTATCTTATCTTGGTCTTGAATTATTCGTGGAGGTCTAGGGAAGGTTTAAAAGGTGAGAAAAATTCGAATAATTGCCGGGAAAATCCTCAAAACAGCTCTTTTCTATAGAATAAAATTTGACATTGAGATTCAATCATAGTTATAGTTAAATAGTTAAATTCGAGATGGCGCGCTGAAGTGCATTATTGACAAAACTTTATATGCATAATTCCTTTAAATTAAAATTGCTAATCTTATTGATAGAATTGACTCTTACTACGAGTATGTCTAGAACAAGAGAGTAAAAACGAATTACATTTTTATTAAACACTGCCGGAACGAAGTCGCGGGCAACAGCTAGTATTGAATATATATTTAATGTAATAGGTATATAACTATTATATTTGCGCAAGGATGACGTAAACCGACCTCTGAGAATCGGTGAGATCAACAATGTTAAATCAACAAGATATAAAAAAGTCACGTCAATATGAATATAAAATGATCATCAATGTCATCATTCAAATGGAATTTTTTCATAAACTTTTCTCATTTTTTTACATCACTTACATATTTCCTGAGATTAATCGTCGTGGCACGCACAGCAATATTCCCGTTAATGCAATATGTCGTTGGTAGACAATCGGCCAGCGATGCCGTCTGCATTTTCCGCGTTTGCATAATCAGCTCCCAGCGAGGGTACGCGACTGATAACAATGGCGCCGACACCATCGCGACACACTTTTCCAGTCTACTCTACGTTCCAACACCACGTCGTGTGTTTGCCTAGTGTTAATATTGTTAATGAAACGCGTGATCTGCGTTGTTACGCAGCTGCAGCCCGACTGAAATCCTCTTTCGCGGAGAGTAAAACTCAGGAAGTCTACGTGCCGGCCGCCGGCGGCATTCTTAAGCGCCTAGGATATAAATAGGCAAAGTCTTTCCTTCGAAAACCAAAAATACCGACAATATATACGCTCTCGATTTTCTACTCCACTCGTATGTGTTTATGTGTGTGTGTGAATGCATGCAGCTTACAAGCAAAGTGTCGCGTTGTCTCATTAATTTCGCGTCTCATGTCCCAGTGTGTCTGAACGCAATGCCTAAGCTTTTCTTTTATCTCGCGTGGAAATAATCGGCTTGACGTGCTGCATTCTTTCATTCTTTTATTCTAGCGTTTCAGATGCAAATGTTAATTCATCATTCAATACCGCGGGAGCAACGCAACGAAACAATTACTTAAACAAAAATAAAACCAAAGGAGACTTCCTTCCGTCGATAATACACGCGCGTGCTTTGCGTCCCCTTATTTCTCTTGTGTATCATGTGTCGCAAATCAGGAAGCTCGAATGATGCCACTGCCAGTTGACAAATCGTTGGTTAAAAATAAGCAAATGTCGAACGCGCCCCTCGATTCGAATGTATCTAATCGTTTTTTCACATCCGGGTGGATGCGCTGTCAAGTTTTAAAGATTATACAGTTTATTCTTGATTTATAATCCCTACTAATATTATAAATGCGAAAGTCCTGATGTTTGTTACACTTTCACGCAAAAACTACTTAACCGATCATCATGAAAATTTGTACACATATTCTTAGTGGTCCCCGAATGGTTATAGGCTACTTTTTATTTAATAAAAAAAAATATTTTTGAAATAAAATAAAGAAATTGTTTAGCCAATAATACCTCTGCATCTGGCTATTTGACTAATTTAACACCATCTAGCATTCCAGCAATGAAGCTCAAACCTAAGTACTATAGTACCATCACACTGTATTATCACACTGTATTACCGACAGCTACGTCAACATCAAATCCAATTGACTACACTATGGAGACTGTACACTATACTTCCATAGACTATACTTTCAGCCATTTTAAACTTCCCGCCATTCTACTTCATTGTTACTTCTTCTGTGACTACAGACGCGTACGGAAGCAACTTCATTATTTTAGATATTCGCGGACGAAGCTGCGGGTTAAAGCTAGTTAAGAATAAGTGATTTCTAAGCATAATTGCAATCTCAGCTGAAAAATCTCAGCTTATTTCGATTATTTTGAATACCAAGACAAAACTTATCAGAAAACTTTCAAATTTATTCTTTAAATGAAGTCCATACTACAAAGTTTCATAATTACCAATTTGTCCCAAATATCAACAATACTAAATTCAAATGAATTCGCAATCTAAGTCGATTTTTATGTGTTTATCTTTGAGGTTATTATAACTATTTCATGCTACATGGATGTATAAGAAGTGTTACCTCTTTGGCAATCAAATCAAGCGCCTGATCCTCGGCGGAGGACTTGGACGGCGCGCGTCTGCGTCCGCCGCCGACGTCCATCGCCGCCTCCGCGTGCGGCGCTGCCGCAAATCTCTCAACGACGCTCGGCCTGGATTACGCCGCCACACCACCTGTATCAGATAAGTACAATCAGCAACAAATAAACAAACATTTAATACAATACATCATACAATATATCATAGAGGACAACTCACAAACAATTAAACTAAAAGCAATAATTGCAGGTTCATTCTTTTAGGTGCAGCATCCCGACGCAGATTGAGAATGAGAATAGCCGGTGGTCATCCGCACGCACGAACACGACGCGCTAGGCTATAAAAAGATTCTATTTCGATCGCACCGGCGTGCGAGAAAGTATTCACCGCCTTCGCCGTCCATCCGAATTTCACAATGTACGTTGTCGATGAGCAATCACATTAAAACGCGCACGAAACAGAAACCTATGCGAATCTAATCAATATTTTAACAGCTAAATTAAAAACAAATGACAAGCGTGCCCGATACCCGTTTAATGCGATTTGCGTGTAAATGCTGGCGCAAATCGCAACTTGGAATAGCAATTGCGAGCAGGTGTTCGTGGGTGGGTGACGGTCGCGCTTTTGGGTTAGGTTTCTGCGGTGGCTGCGTATCTTCCACTCCTCGTATGCGCATGTGTGTGAGTGCGTTGAGTCGTCAATTGTTTCTTTCCCTCATTGCACATTACACTTGCAATGTTGCTATGGAAACAAACAATAACTCACCTTCTGTTGATCGATCATCCAGTCTCCCTCATCGGGCGCATATTTCCCTCGATGGCGGTCCAGCAGTGCCGATAACGTAGACACGACCTTCAGAGACGCGCCGGGGGCAGAGAGATGGTGGTTTCACACACACGCACACAACACAAACACACACTACACACGTATAGACGAGGTAATCTCAAGGGGATTTCACGCCGAGCTTCACTGAACGATGGCGGCCGCGGCCACCCTGTGGCATCGCAACGCGCTCCTGGTGCGCGGCGACGGGCCTTCAACGGACGTGGCGCACGATATCCTCGGCGATTTGCGAAAATTCACACATGTGGAGCGCGCAATGTGCGGTGGCCGAGCGAAGACATTTCTGGGTATTTTCTTCGCAAAATGCCACCACCACAACAAAATGAAATATCACCAGACGTACGTATTTAGTTACATTTTATATTTAAATAAATTCAGATAATAAACATTAGTAAAAATACGTATTTAACAAACAGGTTATCTTAGTATTTTAGTTATTTTAATTATCATCTAAAATATTGCTTTAAAAAGTAAATTCTTTTAAATAAATTTTAAACACTAGACGTTCATATATCTAGGGTCCCTAGAAAAACATTTCAAAACAGTTAAACAAAAACTTCAAATCAAACTAGTTTATTTATTATCTTCTCATATTATTTGCAAAGTTTCAATAGTGCAGTGTCATCATGAGCACATGTATTAATCTCTGCTTCAAGCTTTTTAATACAAGCAATTGAGTCGCTCTGATACTTAGAAAAGAGCTCAATCAATGCTTGCACGTGTTTATCATAATCAGCGCAAATTTCCTTTGCATCTGTGGGAGCTCTAGTACACGTTAGAGAACCGATGCATTCGTTATAGATAAGTTGAGAGTCGAGAGCCCTGCAGAAGTTAACATGGATGTCGATAGCCAAATTAGTTTCGTGGTAAGTCTTGAAGCATGAACTTGTTTTATCAGATTTAAATTTCTTATCTTTATGATCACTTGCTGACCTTTCATCTCTTCTCCTTTTATCTTTATTCCTGTCACCCTTACCTTTGCTTCTACTATCACTTGATTTATCATTTTTACCATTTCGCTTATGTCCCAACACATCAGTTATTCTCAAAACCTTAATGTTCACCAAACCATGGTCGTGATCATCGCGATCATCTCGTCTGCGACTGTTATCCTTTCCCCTTCCACCACCACCAACATGCTTTCCAGGACGTTTATCACTATCCGAATCATTTTTCCTATCTTTCTTCTTGTCTACTTTGCATGATCCATATGAACTCGACACACAGAAATTGTAGATGAAATTATTACTATAGAATTTAGTCAACTCGCCGCATCCTTTAGTTGAATTGAATTTGGCAATATCACCTTCAATCTCTTTCAACAAACTTTCCAATTTTACTCTATCAGCGTCGCACATTTCGGCGCATTCAGCCATTCTGGATTCGACGCATTTCTTCACGTTGGTTTTTTCGGTGTCACACAGTGATGATTCACCGAGTTGTTTATTCAAGACGCAAGATAAATCGTAGGTGGCATCACGGATCGCAAGGGAATCTTCAGCACGACTCTTCATCAATTCTTCGGTTGGTTTGAAAATACCATTCTCGCAGTCTGTTCTGCATGTTGTGGTGGTACCACTGGCCTAAATTTATAATAAAATAAAATACTATTAAGAATCATTTACGATTTATTTTATTTAAAACTAGCTGTTGCCCGCGACTTCGTTCTGGCAGTGTTTAATAAAAATGTAATTCGTTTTTACTCCCTTGTTCTAGACATACTCGTAGTAAGAGTCAATTCTATCAATAAGATTAGCAATTTTAATTTAAAGAAATTATGCATATAAAGTTTTGTCAATAATGCACTTCAGCGCGCCATCTCGAATTCAACTATTTAACTATAACTGTGATTGAATCTCAATGTCAAATTTTATTCTATAGAAAAGAGCTGTTTTGAGGATTTTCCCGGCAATTATTCGAATTTTTCTCACCTTTTAAACCTTCCTAGACCTCCACGAATAATTCAAGACCAAGATAAGATAAATCCGTTCAGCCGTTCTCGAGTTTTAGCGAGACTAACGAACAGCAATTCATTTTTAAATATATATAGATATCGCGCATATTGATACGAAAAGTTGAAAAACTAAAGTTGTATGACTGATTGCTTAAGTATTTTTTATTAAGAACGCTTTGCTTGCACCAAATCGCCCAGAGGCAATTTTCATTAAAAAACTTGCATTTTTCATGTATATTAATAACAATTTCGATACTTTTTTGGTTATTCTCCTTTTCCAAGCGGAGATGAATCCAAAAATCAATAGTTTATCAAAATCTGTCCAACAGTTCTTGAGTTATGCATGCTATAACTAACACAACTTCCATTGTCGATCTTGCTAAATGATTGTGTATTGATTCTAAACGAAAATACAAAATGAGAAAATATTTTACTCACCAAAGAGGCCAAGAAGATGACAACAATCGGCACAAGCAACATGTTGCTAGCTAATACCACACCACGGAAACAATTCGGGCTTATATACAAGTTTGGCAGAAAAAATTAAGCGCAATTTAAATGAAATACGTGTCCTTTCTTTAATTACATGATAATTCCGCACAACAAACGTGATTTTCTTCAAATTTGCGCTCCTCGCATGGCTGAAAATACAATATCTCGAAAAATGATTAACTTAAACTAAACTTTACATTGCATTACATTGATTTTAGGCTATTGCAGGAAGGGAAAACGAAAGATTGGATGATTCGGGGTGCCGGGGTGCAAAGTGAGAGGAATCATTGTGATGAAGGAATCAGCGGGGAAAAGAGATACTTGAGGTTAACAGCGATTAAATTTTGAAGTAAAAAACTAAAACACAATAATACATTACATCAAAATCAAGATATAAGCATATCAGCGCTTCGTTTTCTTTTTTCTCTCTTTAAACGCTCGCGTTCTTCGCACACAGTGTGTCTTCTTGCATTGAGTCTACTTGCACTTGAACGGTAGAGATATTCTTCTGAATTTGTATTGGGGTCGCAAAGAGCAATCGAATTTTTCGTGATTTGAATTGTGATTTGAGAGGCAGGGGCGTGTGAAGGCGGGGCGGGCAGCCGGTGGGCGCGAAGAAGAAAAGACTTGAAGAGTCTAATATTTAGTGCTCCGCTTCGTGCGCCCGCGTGTGGCGGTGTGTCTTCGGCACTTCTTCGCACATATTACTTGCCACCCGACACCACACCACACCACACCGAGTGATTGAGAGCCTGATCGTTTCGCATTCAGAGAGAATAATCTACTTCATCCAATACCTCGTTTTCTTAACCCTTTTCCAAAAACAAACGAAAAACAATACATTAGTGCCAAACGTGTCCATGTAGTCGCATACGTTACCGTCCACAGCTTTTTTTTCTCTTACACATTTACTCAGTGTTTCACAACGCTCTAATTCAAAGTTTTCAAAACAACCATAATCAACGCCTACCTGTGAAACACCAAAGCTAAGCGTTGATTATTACAATTAAAAAAAGAGAAATGATTGCGAAATCGCGATTTCGAAATGAAACAAGTACACCACTCCGGCTGACGTCCACTCGTCTTATCACTTATTTATTCATTAGGCAAAGCTATAATTTTTTACGTCGTCCACCATCGATTGGAAATCATTTGATAGTAAATTATTCAAAACTCCTTGTCATATTGTATTTGCAGTTGCATATCGTAATAATAATAATAATAATTATAACGCTCGAATCGGTTCGCATTCGAGTGCAAAGGGGGTGGCAATTGATTTGTGCGCGATATAATCGCGAAGTCAGAACGGAAACTCGAGACCCCCAAACGCAACGAACGACAGTAGTAGAGTGTGTGTGAGTTAATAATGACCTGCAGGATTAAGACAACAGGTATTAAATATAATTAAATCAAATCAGAGTGGGTGGAGAGAGAGAGTTGGTGGTTTCAGAATAGATATAAAATAAAACCATCCGATGCGCACTGAGAGCAAGAACCTGATGCGCAATCCACGAGAGTGTTGCGGAGATGTCTCATTCGATTGATTGTTTTTTGTTGAGATGGAGATTGATGATCACAATTTGTTTGTTGTTGGTTTGACAGAGTGTGATTTGGGTGAAGATTATTAGTTTTTAGTGGAACTTACGTGGTGAGTAGGAACGCGAGCGCGTGCGTTCGTAACGTCGACCGCGGCGGTAGTGTGGCGAGGGTGTGCGTCGATATTTACGCGGATGATCACTGAAAATACAAAACAATATCATATTAATATAATTTTTTTGGTAAAAATTAAAAAAAAAACTTACTCTCTTTCACGTTCACGCTCTCCTCTATCACGTCCACGACTCCTATCCCACTTGGATGTTGGTACACTACAATAAAACAACGTTAATCCAGTATTCTTTCCATCTGCATTATTTCTATGGACTGTGCAGTGATGCCTTTATCAAAACCCTAAACTCCTCGGGTTTCACTCTAATGTCTCTGCCGCTGTTGAGCGTCGCTCTACCAAAATGCAAAGAATCGTTCGCAGTATATATCCACGAACAATAAACCTCCACAGCTTGGTGAATAATTATAAAATAAAAGACAAAAAACACTTACTAAGTGGGTTTGCCTAGGTACATTCCCGGTGTGGGCGTGTGCGCCCGCTGTGTGATGGAGAAGTCCACGCGAATGTTCTTGCCATTGATCTTCATCCCGGTGCATTCCTCTTTGGCCACCTTCGCATCCTCGGAGCTCTCGAAGTACACGAATGAGAATCCACGCGATTTTCCAGTCTATACGCAATAATCAATCAATAATAACACTAATAATGTATAAAAAAAAGATTTAAATTTACCTTAGCATCTAAAACAACTTGTACTCTTTCAACAGGTCCATACTTGGAAAAGATGTGATACAACTCAACCTCGGTAGTATACACGCTAAGACCAAAGACTCCCAGACACCCAGAAGGTTTGGGATTATCACGGGGGCCTATATGCCGCCGTCGTGAAGACATCGGGCTGTGGGATGGTGAACGGCGCCCGCCGTATGAACGTGAACGAGAGCGTGAATAACGCGACACTTTGTAGTGCTTATCAGACCGCGATCGGCTTCTTGATCTACAACAAACATTTCAGATGAAAAACAAACTAAATTCATATAAGTTTAATTTATCAGTACCTGTATCTTCTGCTTTCCCTATATCTGTCGCGGTCATCTCGTCCACCATCACGTCGATCGCGACGATCCCGATCACGATCGTCACGATAATTACTCCCGCGACTCGGGCTTCGGTCGCGCTTTACTTTGTGACCACGCGGCGATTCGTCGCGTCTATCATGATGCGGCGACCTGTCGCGATCCCTTTCTCGGTCCCGGTCGCCGTCGTTCATTTGAAGATGGTTGTGGTGATTCGGCGGAGATCGACTTAACTATGACATAAATTCAATTAGTATTATCACAAACTCATTCACATTTATAGAAATACTTGTGTATCAGTCATTATGTATGTGTATGTTACGAGTTTTTGCAGACTTAGCGAATTATTATATGAGTTGTGCACCAGTCATTTAACTGACATAACTGTCGTTATTTTGGAGACGCAAACAAACAAAATAAAACACGCCGTGTGGATTCTGGCAAAAAGTGTGCGGAAACGCAGCGAGCCTTGCCAGAAATAGCCATCACTTTCCCAAGTGCATTTTGCGAAAAGCAAAACGCTGGCAAATACACGAATCTAGCACACATAAAAACTGATACTTTTTTATTTATATTTTCCGTTGCATGCATCTGTTATTATCATCAGATACCGTTGAGTACAAAAAAAATCAGTTAAAATCTAGGCTAGCTCACCTGCCTATCACTCATTCTATGCCCAAACAGGCACTGTTTTTACGACGCGATCGCGTAAGAATTACAAATGCGGTTTGTAAATGCCAGATAAAGTGCGTTTAGGTTCGTTATTCATACAGGCGTATTCTCCACGATTATCAAGCGTGGGTACGCCGAAAACACGAATAATTCGCACCGAACGCCACACACAGCGAGTCAAAATGGCGTTTTCCGCCGCACGCACTTCTGGGGAATTCCGCCAATCACATCAAGCCTAACGACCGTTGCGATGTTGCCGAAAGTTTGTTCAATAACTTTTTAAATCGGGCCCTTTAATTTGGGGACAGTTTGTTTGATCATTAAACATACGTTTAAATAAATATTTTAATTCAAATAATTTCAGTAAATGTATGCATTTAAAAGAAAATTGATATTGTTCTGGAATTATACAAGCGTTTAGTCAAATGTAAATTCAAAATAATATTTTTTACTTGTCATCAAACATTGTTGCCACATCAACATACATTTTTGTCCAATGTTTTGATAAATATTCTCTTAAATTCGCAAATTATTATGCGAAATATCCAACAATTAGTTAACTGACGCAAGTGCGGCAATTTTTGAGATACTAACAAATGAAACAAAATAAGAAATGTGTATTCTGACAAAATGTGCCGAATCGCGGTGAGCCTTGCCAGAAATAGCCATTATTTTTGCGAGTGCAGTTTGTGAAAAACACGCGCACCTCGTCAGCAAATTTCCGTTTCTTGTGCGTGACGCAGTGATACTTATTTCATTTATAATATTCCATTGGATTCAACTACGACTTTCATCAGGCATTTGTGAGTACAATAAATAGTAAAAATCTTGGCGCGCTGTTTGACAATGGCTTTGAGAAACTGTTTGGAAAAAGCGTTCGCATACAAGTTACAAATACTGTTTGTAAATTAAAAATGGCAAAATTAATAAGATGTTTTAAGAAGCGGTTCTTCTTTGCGTTTTTCTCTTCTTATTATGAATAATTCGCGGTATTTTAAAGTGACGTTTTTCGGCTGCTTCACTCAACCAATCACAATAATGCTAACGGTCGATGCGGTGTTGTCAAATGTCTGTTCAATAACATTTGACAAAATTGTTATGATAACTTAAAATAAAACATTCCAAAGTTTAAATTTAAGGATTTTATATTTAAAATTATTCAATTTAAATTGTTGTTCTGAAATTGCAAGTAGAGCCACTAAGTCTTGTTCAAAGTGCTTTGTGAACATGAATAAACATTATTAGGGCTTGTCGTTTACAACGTTGCCAATTCAGCCAAAGTATGCTTGTGGTGCACAAACTCAAAACATATTGCGTTGTTCACATGAAACAAAATGCGTTGTATTTTTAGACTGGATTATTAAGCAGATTTCATTTTGGTTTCGTTCATTTTATATTTGTGTACCGTTCAGTGAACAACTAAAAAAGTTCTTCTTACTGTCAAAACTTGCAGTAATAATGTCTCTCTGGTACGTTACATTTATTATCATTTAATAATCAATATTTTTATCGTTTGTTCATTAAATTTGTTAATTTTTATACAATTTCGCTATATTTTAAACTAATTGTCTTTATGTTGGCCCCTCTGATCGTACTTCAGTTGGAGGGGTTAATGACAGCGATGACAGTGCTTTTCTTGCATTTTCAGTTAGTCTGTGAGCAAACATGGCGGGCGCAATGTTATTCGAACGTGCACAATCAGTTTCCGACGGAAAACGCGAGAAAGATCTCGAGCTATTGAAGAAAATCAAGCTCGGCGAAGATGCCGACGACAACGAAGAGGAAATTCGCACCAAGGAGCAGGACATCCTCAACCTTGGTGAGCAATATCGCAAGGAGGGCAAGGCAAAGGAGCTCGCCGAATTGATCAAGGCGACCCGGCCTTTCTTGTCCCTCATCTCAAAAGCTAAAGCCGCCAAGCTTGTGCGCTCCTTGGTTGACTTCTTCCTGGACCTGGAGGCAGGCATCGGGATCGAAGTCCAGCTATGTAAGGAGTGTATTGAATGGGCAAAGGAGGAGCGCCGGACTTTCCTACGACAATCTTTAGAAGCGCGTCTCATTGCCCTGTACTTCGACACTGGCATGTTTTCTGAAGCGCTGACTCTAGGCTCCATCCTCCTGAAAGAACTGAAGAAGTTAGATGACAAGAACCTGCTGGTTGAGGTGCAACTTTTGGAGAGTAAGACTTATCATGCACTCAGCAATTTGCCGAAAGCGCGCGCCGCGTTGACTTCAGCTCGCACCACGGCGAATTCGATTTATTGTCCGCCGAAAATGCAGGCGTCACTCGATCTGCAATCCGGCATCCTGCACGCCGCTGACGAGAAGGACTTCAAGACTGCATACTCGTACTTTTACGAAGCGTTTGAGGGCTACGACAGCGTCGAAGCGCCGAAGGCGCTCACCGCGTTGAAATACATGCTGTTATCGAAGATTATGCTCAACCAGCCGGAGGACGTCCAGCAAATCATCTCCGGCAAGCTGGCGATTAAGTACGCCGGCAAGGACATCGATGCGATGAAGAGCGTCGCGCAGGCCTCGCATAAACGATCGCTCGCCGATTTTCAAATTGGCGTCAAGCAGTTCAAGCACGAGCTGGAGGACGATGTTATCGTGCGGGCGCATCTCGGTACGCTCTACGATAACATGCTGGAGCAGAATTTGTGCCGCATCATTGAGCCCTACAGTCGGGTGCAGGTGGATTATATTGCCAAGACCATCAAGCTGCCCATGCCCCAGGTTGAGAAGAAGTTGTCTCAGATGATTTTAGATGCGAAATTTCATGGCATTTTGGATCAGGGTGAAGGTATGCCACTTAAATTACAATTCACTCATATTTTTTCAAAGATTTTTATTTTTGATGATACATAAATGCACAGAAATAGAGTTTAATTTAACAATTCTTGATCACAACCAACAAATACCTTTGAAAAGTTAATTATTAATGATTGTTCTAATGTTTTAGGTGTGCTGATTGTTTTTGAAGAAACCCCCGTAGATAAAACTTACGAAATGGCATTAGAGACGATACAAAGCATGAGCAAGGTGGTCGACACCCTATATCAAAAGGCGAAGAAGCTGTCATAGGTGTCCGAGTGTTCGGATAAATTTAAATTACTAATTCTTAATATTACTATAGAGGGACGCCGAGAAATCGGCGAGGAGCGGAGCAGTTGGCGATTGGACGAAGCGCAGAGAATTGAAATTTACTATCTACTGAAAAACAAAACACCTTCTGAACTCATAAACTAAACCTACTAATTAAACTGTTTCTGATTGTACGTATTACAGACTTGGAATTTAATGGAATTCATTTTTGTTGGTTTCGCATTGAATTTTCGATCGAAATTGTACGTCTTGTTTCTTTGTCCTCCTAGGGATGTATCATTTATTTTCTGTAATTTTGCAATTTGTTTTGTTTCACCGATGCAAGTAATAGCCGTGGCTGTACATATTTGAGAATAAGAACTGTGTTGTTTTGGGAAAAAAAATGAAACAAATTGAAAAAATATACTTATGTACTTTACGAGTTGATTTCTTCGTGCATTATTGAATTCGTTATTGGCGCACACAGCTATGCATCCTGCAAGCGCGTGGCCCGGCAGGTCTCAACGGATTATTGCGTAATTTTGAGGAGGAAAAGAATGGCGGTCGCTGATGGTACTTCAAGCTCCGCGTGGCCACGAGGCTTAGTATTTGAAACTGGTCATTTAGTTCAGTGTGATTGATGGTTTCCTTTGAGTACCTCTCTTGGCGCTAGTTGTGATTTTACGAACTGGCATGATTACGCTCGAAAAATTTGAGGTTGAGGAAATTTTAAATTGACGGCGTTCTAATGTTTTTAGAGATTTTTATTTGAAAGTTACAGACACATTGATTTTTGTATAATTTTTAACAATTGAAGTTTTATTTTTATTTCTGTTCTACATATTTCCGAAATTGAATTTCCCAAATACCTTTTTTAAACATTAATATTTATAGTATATGCATTAATGTTTATTTTTGAATAAATTATACGGAATGTTAGCCGCATCTAACATTTTTTTGGAACTCACTGTTCCAAAATTATCATGCAAATAAATTACTTTAGTGATGCCTGATTGTATGATAAGTTGTGTGCATTTGTTACAAGGAAACGAGGTGACATAGATTGTGCAATTGTTGACACTTCTGGGCTCCTTCTTCACAATTGCATTCAATTCAGCATGGCAAACTAAAATCATAATTGTTATTAGAACAATAGGTAACAATTTTAGTTAAACACTTACCGTACATCCCTTCACCCCAAGTAAACCTGTATCCCACTCCCACGATTTGCATATCCGAGTTGACAATACATGCACCCACTTGGGTGCTGAGATCCTTGCTACGTCGTGCGGCTAACTCCGCTACCTCCATGAAGTGTTCATCCCAACTTATGCAGTCCTTTCGTGCACCAGTTTCTGGTCTAAGAGAAAAATGTTAAATATTATGTAAATAAAGTTTCATATGCATAATAGTAAAAAAATACTACTTACTCATGTGAGCTCATGATGATTGGGATCGACGTTGCAGTATGATCTAGATACTCACTACTCATTAACTCAATTTGGGTTAATATATATAGGTGAAAAGATTTAAAATTGCAAAAATTATTAATGTTATCATAAATTCTAGAATAATGCAATCGAATATTTGCACAGGGATTTATATACCCATATCAGTTATCAGTGAATTGTTGTCTTTGTTAATTTGCACGAAATCAAGATAAACTTATAGTATCTCAATGTTTTAGGTGGTTGCAACACCATTTATGAGTCACAATTAAAGGCATTTAAATGGAAACTTAAACAGCGAAATTAAACAACACGTAAATTGAAACCACTTCTAAGTAAAGGTGAAGTGATGATCTTTAATCATTTAATCAGTTTCTAATTATGATTAGTATAAAGTGCTTAATATAGACTAAGAGCCCGTGACGGCCAGACTTTCGTCATTTTAGGAAAGATGAAATTTTGTCCATGTGTTTCTCCAACACAGGTAAGAACGATCCCCAATTGTGAAACCTGGATCGTGGTTCCTTTGGCAGTTAACAGCCAACAAAGATGTACACTTGATGACCTATGTTTCGTTATTTTAGCAAACTCCATTTTTGCATATTTTGTTCGTAACATTATTATAACATGCGCTGCTCATTGCCAGTCACCTGGTATGGTTCCAACCCTAGCCAGACACCCCTAAAGTATATTATTTTTTAACTTTTTTACTTTCGTTATATTAGGAAAGCTGAATTTGATACACATTATACAGAGAGCTATGAAATTGTGTTTTCTTTCGCGCCAGACAGTTTGGTCGGTTCTATCATCCTGCCAGACGCATTGAAAGTGTATAAAAGTTGCAAAAGTTAAATTGTGTAAACATGAAAATTTCAGAGAATAGTTATTTTATTTGAACAAATATTTAATAATAATCATCACTGTCGTCGATAACTTTGCGATTCGTTCTTTTCTATCTCCTTTAGTTTACGAGATATTAGCAATTGAAATAAAACGTCAAAAATTGAAAAATTGCACTTTTGAGCACTTTCAGTCGCGGTTTCAGTCGCGGTATCGAGAACAATGATAAAAATTAATAAAGATTTGTTAAAATAAAATTACTATTTTCTGAAAATTTCATGTTTAAACAATTTAACTTTTGCAACTTTTATACACTTTCAATGCGTCTGGCAAGATGATAGAACCGTCCAAACTGTCTGGCGTGAAAGAAAACACAGTTTCATAGCTCTCTGCATAATGTGACTCAAATTCAGCTTTCCTGATATAACGAAAGTAAAACAGTTCAAAAATATTATAGTTTAGGGGTGTCTGGCTAGGGTTGGAACCATACTAGGTGTCTGGCAATTAGTAGCGCATGTTATAATAATGTTACGAACAAAATATGTAAAAATGGAGTTTGCTAAAATAACGAATTTGAGGTCATCATTTGTACATCTTTGTTGGCTGTTAACTGCCAAAGGAACCACGATCCAGGTTTCATAATTGGGGATCGTTCTTACCTGTGTTGGAGAAACACATGGACAAAATTTCATCTTTCCTAAAATGACGAAAGTCTGGCCGTCACTGGCTCTCGCTCTAGTGTGATTGTGAATAATATTGCAGTTAAATTTGAAATCATGCGAACCATTTTTGTCTTCAGGAAAACGCGTCGGGCCCATGTGTTGCTTGGTAAGAATACTCATTTAAATAATTGTGGTGAATAAGATTTTTTTCATTATCTATATCTATAGTATCTGTTTTACTTTTTTTCTGGAATGAGAAAATTGATATCTTAAACTTCTTTTCGCGGCAATTTCTTTCAAACTTTTCACAGAATATTTAAAGATTTAAATTCATTATTTTTTTACTTTAGGGCTCATAGGTTTTGCGGAATTTGACCAAGTGTAAAAATACATTTTATTGCTCAAATATAAATCGAAATGGAGTAGAAACAAAAAATCGGTCAATCTTTTGCATAAGAAATCAAAATTTCATGGCTTAAATGCAATTATTTTATTAATTTTATTAATTAATAAAAATATACTTATGTACTTTACGAGTTTATTTCTTCGTGCATTATTGAATAGGCTGCCTCCTGCCGCGTGGCCGAGCTGGTTTCGACGGACTATTGCGTACTTTTTGAGGAAGAAGCGGTTTTAAAAATGACGGCATTCTGAGTTTTTCCGAGATCTTTATTAGAAAATTACAGGCACATTGATTATTGTTTAATTTTAAACCATTGAAGTTTTAGTTTTATTTGTTTTACATATTTCCCAAATACCCTTTTTAAACATTATTATATATATGCATTAATGTTGACTCTTGAAATGAGAATACGGAATGCCAGCCGCATCTAACATTTCTTTGGAACATATTGTATCAGGTTTATTAGCATGTTTATCATCCAAATAAATTACTTTAGTGATGCCTGATTGAATGATAAGTTGTGCGCAGTGGTTACAAGGAAACAAGGTGACATAGATTGTGCAATTGTTGACACTTCTGGGCTCCTTCTTCACAATTGCATTTAATTCAGCATGACAAACTAAAATCATAATTATTATTAGAACAATAGGTAACAATTTTAGTTAAACAGTTACCGTAGCCCTTTTTGACTTTTTTTTGCCAAGTAAACTTGTCATCATTGCGCCCATCTGCCGTGTATGGCATGCTATTGTATCCCACTCCCACGATTTGCATATCCGAGTTGACAATGCATGCGCCCACTTGGGTCACTGGATCCTTGCTACGTCGTGCGGCTGACTCTGCTACCTCCATGAAGTGTTGATCCCAACTTATGTAGCCCTTTCGTGCACCTGTTTCTGGTCTATGCGAAAAATGTTAAATATCTTCTATATATATAAAATTTGCGTGTCACAGTGTTTGTTTCCATACTCCTCCGAAACGGCTTTACCGATTTTTACCAAATTTTATATGCGTATTCAGTATGTCTGAGAATCGGCTAACATCTATTTTTCATACCCCTAAGTTGATAAGGGTTGTTCACCCTTAACTTTTTTTTTTAATTTTTGGACAAATTCTTTTGTTTTTATTTTTTTATAATGTGGAATTAAAAAATACATACAACCCTAAATTTTTAGTTTTTTATCACCAACCCCTATTTCTTTATAGCCATTTTAGTAATTTAATCATTTTTCATCCCGCTCAAAGAAAATTTTTATATGCGTATTCAGTAGGTCTGAGAATCGGTAACTTCATATCTTTAAGTGATAAGGGTTGTTCACCCTTAATTTATTTTAAATTTTGGTCGAAATTTTTTGTTTTTATTTTTTAATGTGGCATTAAAATATACATACAACCCTAAATTTTTGGTTTCTTATCACCAACCCCTATTTTTTATAATAAGTAAGTTACTTTTTGTCTACACTAAAATTTATCTAGAAACTTGAAATAATTTATATGGCAAACTAACTAGTTATATAAATAAAATTTCATATGTATAATAGTAAAAAAAATACTACTTACTGACTAACTTGATCTTTGGGGTCGGTTTTCTGACGTTTTGGTGAGCTCATGATGATTGGGATCGACGTTGCAGTATGATCTAGATACTCACTATTCATTAACTCAATTTGGGTTAATATATATAGGTGAAAAGATTTAAAATTGCAAAAATTATTAATGTTATCATAAATTCTAGAATAATGCAATCGAATATTTGCACAGGGATTTATATACACATATCAGTTATCAGTAAAGTGTTTTCTTTGTTAATTTGCACGAAATCAAGATAAATATATAGTTTCTCATTGTTTTTGGTGGTTGTAACACCATTTATGAGTCACTATTAAAGGGATTTTAATGGAAACTTGCAAAATTAAACAACACGTAAATTGAAACTATTCCTTATCGAAATAAAAAGGTGAAGTTTAAACCTATTTGTTTATTATTACGCAATCTATTTTAATAGTAGGTAAATTAAGTTTTATGTGACCTAATCGGATCTTTAATCATGAGTTTCTAAATAAGATTAGTACAAGTTGCTTAAGCTATTTTTTCTGCTTCCATCCTATTTCCACGTTTCGGATTCTTAGTCAAGTTCATAAGTCTCTTTTTTCGAAATTCAAGTTAAAAATTATATGGAAATTTCCAAATAAAAAGTATAAACTACCAAAATTATACACCTCAACAGCATAATATCATCTTCCTTTTCTTCTTATTTTCAAAATTCAAGTTGGCAACACTGTGCTTTGCGCCGACGCCATTTTCGCACCCCAGTATGAATTCGTCCATTTTGGGAAGTGCGTCGCTTGTCGTTTTATTCATAACTTCGCGTTCTTATATTCGGTTCTGAAGATGTGGTTTCATCATTTGACCCCGGTAAGTCAAATTTATCGCTTCATGGCTTCATTCAAACATCAACTAACTCTTTTTCTTCTTTCTTATAAATCTCACTTTTCGTTGTACATACAATGAAAATTGCTGTTGAATTCATTTTTTGCGTTTGTCAATCCGCAGAATATTTCTATTAAAATCACAAATGTGATTCATTTATTTTGAAGTACATTCTAGCGACATCTAGACATCTATATTTAAAGTTTGGTGTTATATGTGAAAATTGCTATACGTTTAGATAAGGTGGTGAATGCGCACTGATGCGTACGTGTGACACACGGACACTGCCATTTAAGTCCGTGACCATTCACTGACTCATAGGCAATCGCTCACTGCCTCATATGCACGCCACACTTTTTGAAACACTTTGTATTAGCTGGAGGTACAATAAAGCATCCGCAGACGGCGCAACGATGTATGTTTTAACTAAAAATATTCCTGCGAGTGAGTGCACAGTTGTGATGCCGGCAAGCATCTCTTACTTCCTGCGGCAAGTAATACTACTCCGTGCAGTATTCGTATTTCTCGTTGTTAATTCGGTATATCGCGTTATATTTGATTGAATTTAGTGTTAATTGCTGCGTTTGGTCATTCGATAAATATTTACGTGTTTGTTATATTTTCGCGTGAATTCGTGATCGATTGCCGTCGGAAGCCGGCCGGCCGCCTTGTTTTGAGTTTGTGCGAACCATTTGTCTTTAGCAGAACTCGTCGTCTCAATGTGCGACTTGGTAAGAATACTTAATTAAATAATTGTGGCAAATAAGACGATATGTAAGGCTTACTTTGGGTTTTGCCGGAACTTAGATTCATTGTAAGCATTTTTCGAAATTATGTAACACATGTTATTTCTTCTTTATTTCAGTATCTTCTAAAATTTGATTTGCGGTGTTGGATTCACTTGTAAGTAATGTTTTCCATCATTGATTGTATCTGTTTTCTTATTTTACTGTTTTTCTGCACTTAGAAAATTCATATGTTAAACTTTTTTTTGCGAAACTTTCTTTCAAACATTCCGGAGAAAATTTGGACATGAAATTTAAAATTTTTATTACGGATATCATAGTTTTTTCCGGAATTTGACCAAATGTGAAAATACTTTTTAGCAGAAAACTTGAAGTTAAAATTTTTAAAGTTTTTCAACTGACGTTTGAATAGTTTGAAATTTTTCATTGCTCAAATATAAACCGAAATAGAGTGGGAACAATACACGTTCAAATTAAAAATTGAATTGTATTCGTTTTGAATACAATTCTATTATCAGCGTTTGTTGTACCGTGCAAGATGCTTCGCGTAAGATTCTCGTTTGCCGTCGCGCTGTCGCATGCAGCACATGTTAGTTTAGTTCTTATTGCAGGTACCGTGTCTATTGCAATTCGCACGCAAGGTCGCGGGCTGTCGGCGCACCGGCTGTGCGCATCTCTTGCTTTCTTATCAGAAACTGTCGCGTCGTAGCTGGCACGGCTACGACATGCGTTATCGATGGTTTGCAGCCAGTTTCGTGCCGGTCTCTGGCGTTTCCAGACGCATTTCGCGCGTCGCATATTGTTTTATCGGACTTCTATTTTCTACAATTGAATTATATTCAGTCATCACTCGACTTAGTGTAACATGCATCTACTGTGTTTTGTGAATGATTAATAGTGCGTTTAATGTTCGTAAATGATTTTTTGCTCGCTTTTGATGTTTAAATTTCAAAGTACAAGAATACTGCGGTTTTATTGTCGGTTTTTGTGGGACATTGTCGGTAGCTACCTACATATTGCTACCATGTTGTTCCCAGTTCTTTGGAGGTCCCTTCGTGTTTGAGTAAGTAATTTTTATCTCACCATTTCGATACTCCGCACAGAATGTTTGTTTTTCTCCGATGGGTGAATATAATATTATTATATTGTACCATAGAATATAAATTAAAGAAATATTGCGATTCGATAAGCACTATTAAATTGCTTATGACTGGTATTTTCATGCAATATCAACTTTGTTATATATTTGATAAAATGTGTTTTGAATTTAAACCTGCCATTATTAGATAGTCGGTTAGATGGCAGTACGATGCACGTTTTCGCGTTAAATATTGCTTGTCGGTGGTAGTGAGTGCACACCGTATCCGTGTGCGATCACGCTATTTCGCGCAAGAGATAAGTTTGTTTACCTGCAGATATCGATTCTTTATTTCTTGGAATAAAATCACATCTTGCTGTTTATATTGGCATCGTAAATTGAAGCTAGTATTCTTCAATTCTTTAATCATGAATATAACTAACAATTATACATTAGGTGTAATCTTTAGTTATAAAAATCATCATCAGCAAAACAGTTTTATCATCAGCAGATAGATCACTTAAGCAGATATAACTTAAATATTTTATGTAAAATGTGGCACTCTGTCAGCATAAGAAATCAGAATTACTCAAATCGAAATTTCAATGTTTCATTACTTTTAATAATCTAAATTTTGAAACTACTGTATCATTCATAGATGGCCCTAGCATGACCTAAAAATCGTAAAATAAAATTGTATGGTTTATTTCTGCATTTATCGGCAAGCGTGAGCATTCGGCACGAGAATAGTGTTTGTTTTGAACACAATTCACACTTTCTTATCGCATTGCCGTGTATCGTCGTTGCGTTACTGCATCATATTTTAGTTTTGATGGCAGGTAACGCGCCAAATGCAATTTGCGCTCAAGGTCTCGTGCCATCGACGCACCGACTTCGCGCATCTCTAGATTTCTTATCATAAACTGTGGCGTCGCTGCTTGCGCAGTTGGCGGCCAGTTCGTGCCGGTCTCTGGTTGTTGCAGACGTGTTTCTCGCGACTCGTATTGTTTGCCCGAACTTTTATTTTCCAAATTCGCATTATATTCGTTCATCAATCAACTACCTATTTAGTTTTAACTTGCGACTATAGTAATGTTATTTATTATTTGAATATAATATTACATGAATATAATGTTTTCTTTTCTTATTTACAGTATTTGCCATGCCTTGGAGTCTGATGTGTTCTGCATTGGTGAGTTTATAATTCAATTATATTTTTCATTTTTATTACTACGTCGTACATAAGTTTGTATTAATGTAGATTTTTTTTCGTGTTCCACCGCGTGTTGCCAATACACAAGACAGTAGCGTTTCAGGCCGCTCGTCTGTATCTCTTTTAGTTTACGAGATATTCGCGATTGAATAAAATCGGCAAAAATTGATAAATGTCACTTTTTAGCACTTTTAGTCGCGTTTTTCGACCTTTTACTGTAGGAAATATAACTATTTTATATTTTTATCTGATAGAGAATTTTCCAATCTTTCATAATCAACAATTTGTTGGTAGCTATCTCTTTTAGTTTAAGAGATATGAATTTTTGAAAATCGTCGAAAAAGTATCAAACACCCCCTTGGCAATTTTTCTTAAGACTTAAAATTTCATCTCTCAGATTTCCTTTTAACTATCCTATCTGATAGAGATTGGTCCGTAGATTAAGACGCTGCGATCAGATCTTATTTATCTCTTTTAGTTTACGAGATATTCGCGATTGAATAAAATCGGCAAAATTGATAAATGTCACTTTTAGCACTTTTAGTCGCGTTTTCGACCTTTTACTGTAGGAAATATAACTATTTTATATTTTTATCTGATAGAGAATTTTCCAATCTTTCATAATCAACAATTTGTTGGTAGCTATCTCTTTTAGTTTAAGAGATATGAATTTTTGAAAATCGTCGAAAAAAAGTATCAAGCACCCCCCCTTGGCAATTTTTTCTTAAGACTTAAAATTTCATCTCTCAGATTTCTCTTTTAACTATCCTATCTGATAGAGATTGGTCCGTAGATTAAGACGCTGCGATCAGATCTTATTTATCTCTTTTAGTTTACGAGATATTCGCGATTGAATAAAATCGGCAAAATTGATAAATGTCACTTTTAGCACTTTTAGTCGCGTTTTTCGACCTTTTACTGTAGGAAATATAACTATTTTATATTTTTATCTGATAGAGAATTTTCCAATCTTTCATAATCAACAATTTGTTGGTAGCTATCTCTTTTAGTTTAAGAGATATGAATTTTTGAAAATCGTCGAAAAAAAGTATCAAGCACCCCCCCTTGGCAATTTTTCTTAAGACTTAAAATTTCATCTCTCAGATTTCTCTTTTAACTATCCTATCTGATAGAGATTGGTCCGTAGATTAAGACGCTGCGATCAGATCTTATTTATCTCTTTTAGTTTACGAGATATTCGCGATTGAATAAAATCGGCAAAAATTGATAAATGTCACTTTTTAGCACTTTTAGTCGCGTTTTTCGACCTTTTACTGTAGGAAATATAACTATTTTATATTTTTATCTGATAGAGAATTTTCCAATCTTTCATAATCAACAATTTGTTGGTAGCTATCTCTTTTAGTTTAAGAGATATGAATTTTTGAAAATCGTCGAAAAAAAGTATCAAGCACCCCCCCTTGGCAATTTTTTCTTAAGACTTAAAATTTCATCTCTCAGATTTCCTTTTAACTATCCTATCTGATAGAGATTGGTCCGTAGATTAAGACGCTGCGATCAGATCTTATTTATCTCTTTTAGTTTACGAGATATTCGCGATTGAATAAAATCGGCAAAAATTGATAAATGTCACTTTTTAGCACTTTTAGTCGCGTTTTTCGACCTTTTACTGTAGGAAATATAACTATTTTATATTTTTATCTGATAGAGAATTTTCCAATCTTTCATAATCAACAATTTGTTGGTAGCTATCTCTTTTAGTTTAAGAGATATGAATTTTTGAAAATCGTCGAAAAAAAGTATCAAGCACCCCCCCTTGGCAATTTTTTCTTAAGACTTAAAATTTCATCTCTCAGATTTCCTTTTAACTATCCTATCTGATAGAGATTGGTCCGTAGATTAAGACGCTGCGATCAGATCTTATTTATCTCTTTTAGTTTACGAGATATTCGCGATTGAATAAAATCGGCAAAAATTGATAAATGTCACTTTTAGCACTTTTAGTCGCGTTTTTCGACCTTTTACTGTAGGAAATATAACTATTTTATATTTTTATCTGATAGAGAATTTTCCAATCTTTCATAATCAACAATTTGTTGGTAGCTATCTCTTTTAGTTTAAGAGATATGAATTTTTGAAAATCGTCGAAAAAAAGTATCAAGCACCCCCCCTTGGCAATTTTTTCTTAAGACTTAAAATTTCATCTCTCAGATTTCCTTTTAACTATCCTATCTGATAGAGATTGGTCCGTAGATTAAGACGCTGCGATCAGATCTTATTTATCTCTTTTAGTTTACGAGATATTCGCGATTGAATAAAATCGGCAAAAATTGATAAATGTCACTTTTAGCACTTTTAGTCGCGTTTTTCGACCTTTTACTGTAGGAAATATAACTATTTTATATTTTTATCTGATAGAGAATTTTCCAATCTTTCATAATCAACAATTTGTTGGTAGCTATCTCTTTTAGTTTAAGAGATATGAATTTTTGAAAATCGTCGAAAAAAAGTATCAAGCACCCCCCCTTGGCAATTTTTTCTTAAGACTTAAAATTTCATCTCTCAGATTTCCTTTTAACTATCCTATCTGATAGAGATTGGTCCGTAGATTAAGACGCTGCGATCAGATCTTATTTATCTCTTTTAGTTTACGAGATATTCGCGATTGAATAAAATCGGCAAAAATTGATAAATGTCACTTTTTAGCACTTTTAGTCGCGTTTTTCGACCTTTTACTGTAGGAAATATAACTATTTTATATTTTTATCTGATAGAGAATTTTCCAATCTTTCATAATCAACAATTTGTTGGTAGCTATCTCTTTTAGTTTAAGAGATATGAATTTTTGAAAATCGTCGAAAAAAAGTATCAAGCACCCCCCCTTGGCAATTTTTTCTTAAGACTTAAAATTTCATCTCTCAGATTTCCCTTTTAACTATCCTATCTGATAGAGATTGGTCCGTAGATTAAGACGCTGCGATCAGATCTTATTTATCTCTTTTAGTTTACGAGATATTCGCGATTGAATAAAATCGGCAAAAATTGATAAATGTCACTTTTTAGCACTTTTAGTCGCGTTTTTCGACCTTTTACTGTAGGAAATATAACTATTTTATATTTTTATCTGATAGAGAATTTTCCAATCTTTCATAATCAACAATTTGTTGGTAGCTATCTCTTTTAGTTTAAGAGATATGAATTTTTGAAAATCGTCGAAAAAAGTATCAAGCACCCCCTTGGCAATTTTTCTTAAGACTTAAAATTTCATCTCTCAGATTTCCTTTTAACTATCCTATCTGATAGAGATTGGTCCGTAGATTAAGACGCTGCGATCAGATCTTATTTATCTCTTTTAGTTTACGAGATATTCGCGATTGAATAAAATCGGCAAAAATTGATAAATGTCACTTTTTAGCACTTTTAGTCGCGTTTTTCGACCTTTTACTGTAGGAAATATAACTATTTTATATTTTTATCTGATAGAGAATTTTCCAATCTTTCATAATCAACAATTTGTTGGTAGCTATCTCTTTTAGTTTAAGAGATATGAATTTTTGAAAATCGTCGAAAAAAGTATCAAGCACCCCTTGGCAATTTTTTCTTAAGACTTAAAATTTCATCTCTCAGATTTCCTTTTAACTATCCTATCTGATAGAGATTGGTCCGTAGATTAAGACGCTGCGATCAGATCTTATTTATCTCTTTTAGTTTACGAGATATTCGCGATTGAATAAAATCGGCAAAAATTGATAAATGTCACTTTTAGCACTTTTAGTCGCGTTTTTCGACCTTTTACTGTAGGAAATATAACTATTTTATATTTTTATCTGATAGAGAATTTTCCAATCTTTCATAATCAACAATTTGTTGGTAGCTATCTCTTTTAGTTTAAGAGATATGAATTTTTGAAAATCGTCGAAAAAAGTATCAAGCACCCCTTGGCAATTTTTTCTTAAGACTTAAAATTTCATCTCTCAGATTTCCTTTTAACTATCCTATCTGATAGAGATTGGTCCGTAGATTAAGACGCTGCGATCAGATCTTATTTATCTCTTTTAGTTTACGAGATATTCGCGATTGAATAAAATCGGCAAAAATTGATAAATGTCACTTTTAGCACTTTTAGTCGCGTTTTTCGACCTTTTACTGTAGGAAATATAACTATTTTATATTTTTATCTGATAGAGAATTTTCCAATCTTTCATAATCAACAATTTGTTGGTAGCTATCTCTTTTAGTTTAAGAGATATGAATTTTTGAAAATCGTCGAAAAAAGTATCAAGCACCCCCTTGGCAATTTTTCTTAAGACTTAAAATTTCATCTCTCAGATTTCCTTTTAACTATCCTATCTGATAGAGATTGGTCCGTAGATTAAGACGCTGCGATCAGATCTTATTTATCTCTTTTAGTTTACGAGATATTCGCGATTGAATAAAATCGGCAAAAATTGATAAATGTCACTTTTAGCACTTTTAGTCGCGTTTTTCGACCTTTTACTGTAGGAAATATAACTATTTTATATTTTTATCTGATAGAGAATTTTCCAATCTTTCATAATCAACAATTTGTTGGTAGCTATCTCTTTTAGTTTAAGAGATATGAATTTTTGAAAATCGTCGAAAAAAGTATCAAGCACCCCCTTGGCAATTTTTCTTAAGACTTAAAATTTCATCTCTCAGATTTCCTTTTAACTATCCTATCTGATAGAGATTGGTCCGTAGATTAAGACGCTGCGATCAGATCTTATTTATCTCTTTTAGTTTACGAGATATTCGCGATTGAATAAAATCGGCAAAAATTGATAAATGTCACTTTTAGCACTTTTAGTCGCGTTTTTCGACCTTTTACTGTAGGAAATATAACTATTTTATATTTTTATCTGATAGAGAATTTTCCAATCTTTCATAATCAACAATTTGTTGGTAGCTATCTCTTTTAGTTTAAGAGATATGAATTTTTGAAAATCGTCGAAAAAAGTATCAAGCACCCCCTTGGCAATTTTTCTTAAGACTTAAAA